GTGGGTTACCAATTTTCATGTGCCCCCCCCCCCCCCCCCCCAGTGAGATTTTCTGGGCACGCTACTGTGCACGTAAACCTTGTGTGTGAGATGGGGGAAATTGGCCGGGATTGAGAGAAAGGCGGTGGATTCGGTTCACGCAGACACAGGTCTCCACGACTTCCTTGTCACGTTGTCTTATCTAGAGAAGGAAGCCGAGACTGGTAGAGAGTTATTCTCAGGACATTTTCCCTTCTATCATTCGCTTTCGTTTCTTCTTCGGTTCACGGTGGCACATATCCCCGAAGGCTGCTTCTTGGACCGTACGATTCCGCGTATCGGCAGCCGCATATACCAACGACGATTTGGTCGCGGTTGAAGTCGGAACGAGGATAACATCGAATAAAAGGTTCTGAAGCTGGTATTGAATTCGGGACTCCGTGCTCTCTGCATGGAGCGCTGCTCCAGTTCTAGGAATCTAATAGAAGTTTATTTAGATGAATGCAGTGGGATTACGAGATTATTTCAGTTTTGATATTGAGGACCGAGAGAGTCTGACCACTTTTTGTGGCCAGCGGTTTCTTGTTTCTTTTTCCTTCTACCCTGTTTCCAAATTCTCTGTCCGTGATGAAGCGATGGCCCCACGAATGACTAGTGAAAGAGCCACTGGGAGCGATGAAGCAACGAGGGGGATGTAAGACAAGGCCTGTAAAGGCTGATGATGATGGTGTTGCAACGCACCGTTTGCGCCTGAACGTCAGTATGGCTTCAGCTTCCACTCCGTCCCAATTCCATCTTCTGTGGTCTGCTACCCTTATCTGCTGCCCTTATCTTTCGCTCTTCTTTCTCTCGCATCAGTGCAGCGGTAATGCCTCACGTTCCCGTCTTTGAGAGTAGGCGAATCGGTCCCTTGCATTGCATGTTTACGTAACCAACTCGTCTCTTCGCCATGCTGGGAGAACATATTAAAATTTCAAGAGCAAGAGCAAAAAAGAAATTAGTTTTTGTAACTCGGTAATGCAAATGATAAAACTGTAAGTTGATCCGGTGGGAAACTTTTCCCTGGAGTCTGAAATCTGAAATGTGAAAAAAAAAGGGGGGGGGGGTGTGGTTGGTCTGAGGTTACCTTCCAACAGGAATGAAAAGTCCAAAATATTCCTCTTGAGATTTTTCATATTTGTTAGTTGCATGAATGTCATCATTCCGTTCTTTAAGTTGAATAATTGGAGCCATACTCAAGTCAGGCCCCGCCCAGGATCCAAAAAATTGGTACTCTAAATTGCTTTGGTTGCTCTTCATCAAAAAGAGCCTAAACGATAATAAATTCTGCATTTATTTTCAGTTTAGACGAACATCGTGAAGAATATGTTACACTTGAAAAGGAATTGACGTCATTATCGGGTTTTGATAGGGGAGAAATTTCATGTGGGACTTATCGGACTTTCCATTGTCTATGGAAGAGAACGCCTACTAGTGTTTCAAGCTAACCAAGAGACTTCCTTTATCGTCCATCATTCTTGACGTTGACTCGTTGTCCAAGTGGAATACGCCATTGTTAAAGGAACGTTTTCTTTATCCTTGAAGAAAATTGGAAGGTGATCAGAGATAGAATCGCATCATGCCAACGGAGCGTCAGCAGTCTCCATTCTATGCTGTTGACTGCCAACAAACTAAAGGGGATTATTTCTGCGAGGAAATCCGGGTGGTATTTGTTTAAGATCGATTTTGAAAAATAAAATAATCATCATTGAAATGTTTTGGCCGAGGTCATGCGATATAATCGCTGCCGCAGAATCACGCGGACAATATCAGTGATTTCAATGTGGGAATGAGTGGACGGACACAGTGAGAAGAGGAAACCAGTTCAATGTCACTTGGAGGAAGGGCATCGAGAAACTGGTTTATTTTTCAAGAGACAGCACCCGTTACGTTATCGTTTCATCTGTCTCGAGTACATAAGCACTCGTTTCGTAGCGAGTTCTACGCAATCCCAAAGGTAGTCTGAATATCCAGAACGAGTCTCTCCTGTTTCCCCTGGAAAAAAAAATGCTTTCCGTTAACTCTGTTACATGATTGTCTAACCTAGATTATCTAACCTGTTTAAAAGCATGTCTTTGAGCTTCTGATGTTTGGGGACCAATTCGAGAGAACTATCCATGCGTTTGGTTGTTTATTTATTTATTTGTTGTGGCCTTGATCTCGAAACTTGCACTTTTAGAATTATGGACACGGTGTGGTCTCGACCTTGACCACTCTCCTTCCTGGGATCTGGGCACCAGTGCCAATAGACCTATGTTTTCATCTTTCCTGGGTGCATTTGTATTGCTCAACGGGACAGACACTTTAATGTTAGAGAGGGAAATTGTTCGAATCGACCAATTCTATAAAGATTTTAATAGCTGCTTTTTGTTCGTACGTTTCAGGGGGGCGGAATCGCATCCCAGTGAGCGAGATCTTGGGAGTGAAGAGAGAACCATCACTTGATGCTGAGAACCCGGAATCTCTTGAAACCTCTAGCTTCGGCTCCATCAACAAAGGAGATGGTCTGGAGGCCTCCTCAACCGATCTCCTAGGGAGCAGTGCACATACTTCAAACTCGACGTCCTCGGCGCCCAAGTGCAACGTCAAGGACTTCGCCGTTCGTGTCTACTATGCCCAGAGGTCGTGGAAACACCGATGGAAGTTGTGTCATGTCACCTTTCGTTCTACAGACCAGGCCTTGGTCTCCGTGTTTTATCATGCCATTCGGCAGGCAATTGCAGGTCAGTTGGATGCCTAGCATTGATGGATTGTTGTACGGAAGAAGATATCGTACTTCTGTCTCGCAAACTACACAATCCTCAGCGTGATGCATAGTGTACCAAACGACGATGCCTTGTCGTCGGGTAATTTATCTTCCATCCTTGAGGCCGATGGCAATAGGACGCCACCAAGGAATAAGACATGTAACACCAATTCTTTCCATACTGTACTGTAACCGTTTATGCTCATCATGTCATACAGTTATCCGATTCGGGACCCTCTTGAGAGGAACAAGTAACGTTAGATGCAAGTAAAGCACTCGAGGCACTTAATGCAATATTCACAAGGACTTGCACTCAGTGCAAGGTCAAGATACACACTCCACTTGCAATACACTCAGTACACAAGCCAGGGAAGGTAAAACACGTACCTGTTTTTTCAAGGTTCTTCCCAGTTTCATGGAGAGAACACAGACTAGTCCATTTGAGTCATGAGGTCGTTTAGCCTTGAAAATTCCACTCTTTCAAAAGGTCCTCTTCCTATGCTACAGAACTTCAAGGGTGATAATAGCTATGACTTTTACTTGAGGTGCCTATGCTTCCTTTGTTTCTTTCTTGGATGAGATTTTTTAATTCACAAACAAGGGAAACCACATGATGAATAGTAATTAGCTTTTTGAATAATCTGTGCTTCATTAACTTGCCATCATTTTTCTAAAGTCAGAGAATCCTCCCTTCATTTAATTCAGTCTACTTTATGTCTGTCAGTCATTTATAAATGGTGATGGTCTGCCAGTTTTTTTTATCTTTGTGGGAATCGGAATTGACCACATATACTTGATATGCTGTCATTTTATTCGAAAAGTCTGGGACTTATTTTTTAGCTGAAGAGAATCGACCTAAGAACTTGCTCATATTCATCAATCCCTATGGAGGGAAAAAGCAAGCCAAGAAGATTTTTGAGAAGCATTTCTCACCTCTCCTTCACATCTCAGGCATTCAATATGAGGCTATTGGTAAGTAGATTCATTTAAAATTAAATTTTCATACAATAATCTTTTTAAAAATTGACATTTTATTTTTTCAGAAACAACTCGGGCAAGACATGCTTATGATCACCTGCAGACATGTGATCTGGAAGACTGTGATGGCATAGTTGCAGTTGGAGGAGATGGAATGTTCTCAGAGATTCTCAACGGGATATTGATTCGCACGGCTCGAGAAGGGAAAATCAATCTAAACGATGCATCAATTGAACCATTGAGTCCAAAGATTCGACTGGGCATGGTACCTGCTGGCAGCTCCAATGCCCTTTCTCAAGCTAGCAATGGCACCCTTGATCCCCTCTCTGCTGTCATTCACATAATCTTGGGTGAATACAATGCTTACTCTGTCTCTTCAGATCATAGAGTTTCTCATTTATGAAGCTGTAAGGAAAACTGGTATGCACATTGCAGGAACTTGGGAGCCATTTTGAATGAGTGGTTGGATTGAGGTTTGGGCTTAATCAGATGTTGCATAAATTTTCAAACATAAATGCTGACATGAAATTGGGATGTTTTCCAAATTCTGACTATTGCCAGGTCTACTTGGCTGTTACCTGAGCGGAATTCACCCAGTATCTCACTTTCAATGATATTGCTGGTAATAGACATATTCTTAGGTGCCCTGTACCATTTTAATTTGCAATTGCTTGTAAACAGGGGACAAAGAATTCTGCTCCTTTCCTCAATAATTCTGATGGGATGTTGCTGTTCTACATCATTTAACCCTGTAACTACTGTTCTGGGTCCAATGAACCCTGATTTTAAAAAGTTAACCATTTGTGTAGGCTGCACCATGAACTTGAAAAGCCTGATACCTCTTATGTATTTTTGTGTAGACATGTAATAGTAATTAGGCTGAGTATTTTGAAAAGATTCTTTGGAAATGAAAAGATGTAACAGAGTTAAGCATATGACCATTTGGGTTCTGGTAGTTACGGTTAAGGAACTCATCAATTGTGGAAAATCCTTGAGAGTAGCTTGAAAACACACAGGACCCATTGATTTGCAGAGTTCTTGTTAGATATGATTAGCCAGGGAACAGTATAGGCCACTCTAGCTTTTCTTCATAACAGGGCAGAAGGGATTCCATATAAAAATGTAACTGTGAAACCCTTATATGGCTTCTGAACAACTCCATGCAGCATCCTTCATTTGAGAATTTTTATATTGTATATAGGATTGCTAATTTAATTAGATCAGTTTATTGATTAATCAATAAACCAATAATTAATAAATAATAAATAAAAAATCAATAAATCAGTTGGAGTTTAAAGCATGATTCAGAAAACAGTCAATGGTAGGGTGGGGTAATGGGGCTAGCTGGACCCCCCCTCCTTCTCCCATCAAATTTTCCTTGGTTAGGATCTTGCATTAAAAGTTACTTTCTGCATTCATCCAGGTGTACTTCAACTATATTATTGATTGCTTGGGTTAATTGGTTCAAGCAGGATAATTATTTAAGTGAAAATTCCAGTTTGACCAAAACCAACCCTTGATGGAGTTCCCTATTCTCCCACCTGTACATGTTCTTGGTCCTGTAATTTCAGATATATTAATAGGAGTGCAAAAAAATCTGTGAACTCACCAATTTTGTTTCTATTTTTTTAAAATATTATTGACAAGCAGCCTTATTTAAGTAAAGAGTGCATTGGGTGGCCTTGAAAAATTAATGCTACCTTTGGTGGATGGAAGTGTTGCATTGATGAATGAAATTCAGGGAGAGAGTTTCCCTTCTTGGTTCTTCATATAAGGTCATCATGATCTTGGATATGGACCTTTTAATATAAACCCAACTTGAATGCTATATTTCAGCTGAAATGAAACAGTATGTATGGACATAACCATTCTCCATTTCCTCACATTAGTTAACAATCCTTTTGGTCCAAGGTTAAACAATTCATGAACACATCATCTTGTTTTTCTCATGTGATTTGCATTTGCTAGTCATTCTAATGCCTTGTCATTGTGCTACCAATTCATCGAATTTGTGTGTTGGCTTATCTCAAGTTTTCTGGGATGTTTCCAGGATGTCCAGCTTTACAGCATACTAGAAGTTGAAGACAAAAGACTGACCTAAAGTTGACATTAATGTGTGACTGCAGTCCTGCAGCTTTTGGCACTGTTTATCTCATTCAGGACTCTGGTTTCATCAAACCAAAAGCCCACTTTTGTGTGTTGTGTGATTATTCTGCTAAAGTATGGAACTAAAAATGGCTATTTTTTTAAATCATGTTTGAATGTTTCTTATGAAGACAGAGGGTGACTGCATGGTCCAGGGTGGCAATAATAGAAGCAATCTTCAATAGAAATGTGGCAGCCCACAAAATTATACTTTAGCCTTTTCTAATTGCCCATTTAGTAGTGCTTCAGATTTGAATGAGGGTGTGATATGGCTTTTTCTAAGCTGAATGATTCAGGAGTGTGTAATGTTGACTCCATTCAAACTATAGCTTTTCCAGAAGTTCACGATTTGGTGGTAGCCTGATGATATCCAGAGCCATTTCATCAACATGCTGCACTTTCCATTTATCATTCAGCTTAGAACAAGCAATATTGCAGACTTATTAAAATCTGAAACATGGAAAAGAAACACAACTAGGTGGGCTATCAGAATAAGCTAACTATGATTATGTGTTAAGTCGCACCTCTGATGGCCATGGAGAGAGTATCTTTCTTTGGCACCCCATACATACCAATTCTTCTTTCCCTTTAACTGTACTGCTGTTCAGAATGTGCTCCCAGAGTATTGAAAGGAATAATATTTTAGTCAAAACTTCACAAGTATTAATGAAGTCTTCATAATTGGCTCAATTTTTATGGGACCCATCTCAATTAGTAGATCATGTTCACCAATTCTTGCCTTTACTATAAGCCAATAAGTAGTGTTACGTGAGACGTCTGGACTGATCATAGCATCTCTGATTTCTTGACAAATTTTTATCAACCATGAACAGAAAAGATAAGCCTAAGCTATGTCACTGAATTTTTTGAAGAACAATTTTGATTAGAATATGCTGCCAGTAGTTGTATCCTTTTTTCAATATTCCAGGTGACAGACTTGCTTTGGATGTGTGCGCAGTTCGGAAAGGTGGACTTCTACTGCAAGCAGCAGTTACATTCATGGGTTATGGATTTGTTGGAGATGTGTTATCTGTGAGTGAACAGTTGAGGTGCCTTGGACCGACTCGTTACCTTGTGGCCGGAGCCAAGGTTCTCTTCACTCATCGCTCTTACAAGGGAGAGGTGTGGTATAGAGGTGGACCCCCTGTTCCCTTTGATCCACTCTCTAGCCCTCCATGTCTAACTGGTTGCACCGTTTGCAAGGCCTCACACCTCAAAGCCACTCTTCGTCAGCAGTCCCTTCCCCAATCAGCCTCCTCCTTCATTTCTCCTGTTTCCTCCAACCGTGAGTAGGGGGGGGAGGGTTAGCAAACAATAAGTTTTAATTTATTTGTAATTCATGAAGGAAATATGCAGGTAACCAGTACCTTAGGGATTACTCCTTTTCCTTTATTGTCACTGAAAGTGTCTGATTCTGGTAGGCTTTAAGTTACTCCTGCTTAAGAAAATGGAATATTAAGAATAACTTTTGTCAAAATGTTTGAATTCTTTCACATTCCTATGAACCCTCAATAGGTTCTTTTCAAAAACTAATGCATCCTCTTCCATAAGCATCACATGCTGATGAAATTTGAAAAGTTGATCAGAGATCCACTCATACTTGATCTACAGGCATCTTCATGTATATTCCTTTAATTGTTTGTTTTACTATTCATGACTAAAACAGAAGGCAGTCATCACTGTGCCTATTTCAAATCAGAGCACCAGTTATGATTTTAGTGTTCTGTGACTGTTTCTTAAGTACCATGAAACATGAAGCTTCACATTTCATGGATGTGGTGAAATATGGGATTTCAGAATGTTAGGTCTTGTATAACTTTGAGTTTGAATGGGTTGAGAACAACTAACTACAAAATATTCTCATTTGAATTTAGTTCTGGTATAAAGCAAATATTTGCAGTGTACTGCCTTGCCTGGATATAGATATGAACCAAAGCTCTTATATTTTAAGGAAATAATCTGATTTAATAATTGAGGTCTGTGGAGCCTAGCAATCATTACTTGCTATCTTTCTCATATTTAATACTGATGACTTGCTTCTGCTACAAGAGAAGTGGCTTTTCAGACAATTTCTTTTGAAATTTCCAGAAGAATAGGGCAACTTCCAATGTTATACGTAGCTCTCCAGGAAAGGCAGAACGATTTCAGATAGGCTGTAGTTCTTTAATTATGTATTGATATGTAATTGATTTGTATTATGTATTTTATGAATCAGAAATAATCTAAAAATACAAGTATAAAATAACTCATGGTGCATATCATTTCATGCTGACATTCCAAATCCACATCACCCATTATCAGCATTGGCCCATATTTGCAAATGTAGGGAAGTAACAGTTGTGTTCCTAGCACTCCTAATTCAAAGAACAAAAGTGATTCTGCTTGGAATAAAGTTAACTTGGGGAAATGGGTGTCACTGGTTTGTTTAAAAAAAAATGGTTCAATGGGATGGGGAAGGGGGCACTTTATGCACAGTGCCTCCTCCTCACTCTTATTCCTTGCTCCTCTTCTCTTGGAGACTGATTGTTGGGCCAAAATTGACTCATTTTTATCCCACCTGATCTGCCAAGGGTGATTTAAGCCTGCTTCTTTTCTTCTTAGAAGGAGACTTGGGTGAATGGAAGTGCATGTCTGGAAGGTTCTTGCAAGTGGGATTGTGTGTGAGCACATGCGATAACATGCATTCCCCTGGTGGTCTCAGCCCTCGTGCTCACTTTGGTGATGGTCATATGGATCTCCTTCTTGTGAAAAAGACAAGTTTCTTCAACTACATTCGATTTCTTCTCCGGCTTCACTTTTCTGCTGGGTCTCAGTACCAAATGTCCTTTGCATCCTTGAGACGGGTCCAAGAAATGAAGTACATCCCCAGGGAAGATCCCAACCAGACTCATTCCATTTGGAACTGTGATGGCGAGATCCAAGCAGACCCAGCCCTTAACTTCAGGTTTGACCGATTGACTCTCATGGAATGCTCTTAGTAGAGCAGTTCAACCCATTTTTATTAGTTAGCCAAATTTATATCTCCTTAAGGAAGTTTGCTGAAGAAATTCCTTTGAAGAAGAAGAATGCACTACTGTGAATTGTATTTTGATAATTTTGTATGTACATGCCTGAATCATGCAGACATGATGATGACCCAGATATAGGATGGTATTTCTGATAATAAATTTGGGTAACTTTGCTTGTATGCTGTCACATTCATGCTTGCCTGGCATCTTCAAGGTGATTAAGTTACTATAACTGTGAATAGGTTTGCATATATTTCAACTTCTGATGCTCAATGCTAAATTTTCATCCTGCAGGCATAAAGCACTTGATTAACCTTTGGCTGTTTGCTCGAGTACATACTCGGGCTTGTGTAGTGGTAGCATGGGTATGTTCTCGGGCTCAGAACATTCACTGTTTCTATGTAATTTCACAGCTATTCATGCATGTAACTGCTATCTTCAATAGTTATCATGATATGACATTTTCTTACATAAACTATTGTTTTTAGACAAGCAGGGCCAATTTTTGTAAGAAAACGTATCAGCCATCCTCCCTGTGTTATAACAGTCAAAGGGTTAAAAGGGATGCTATTGAGACTTCTTTCAAAATCATTGGTGGTGCTTGCAGATGGGAAATAAAAAAGATATTACCATTCTGAAAGTTGCTGCAGCAGTTGGTGCATTGAATGAGCATTCGTCCTTGACAATAACTAATAGCTCACATCTTCAGTATCAAGTTAAGTTCCAAGCCAGGTGGTTAATCACATTTTGTTCAGTCTCTGAGCTTAAGCTTGGGGTCAATGTGGTCTAAAAAAGGCCACTTTTTATGCCCACTGATCAGGTCATGACAAGATTCAACCAGAGTAAATAAGGTGCACCACGGCAATCTAAATAAATGTAGGTGGGTGATGGAATCGAATTTTCAGCTTGGACAAACCATCACAGCCTGAAGTAGTATAAACTGAATGGACATCATCCATGGGCAAAGGTACAGCTCATGGATGCCATGAAGAGAAGTTGGCAAAGGTCTGCATGAATGGACTGCAGAGTATTGGGAGAAGGTTATCCAGAATATAAATTGTGCAATCAAAATCTTGTGAAAATTTTATTTTTAATGTTTTGAACTTAATGGGAATGGTCTATGGATGACAAACATTCAGTCCCACCAAGCTCTCACAGTAAGACTGAGTGTGTTTTGAGATTTTGAATGGTGGCTTATGGTATGTCATTTTCTGTTCTGTTCAAAGGATCCACTGTCAACTGGTGGAGATCTTCTCCCGTGGGATAGAAGATTTTCCTCGAGATCCACCGTCGTGCTTTGCTGCTTTCTTCTCTCCTCTTAAGTCACCTCCTGTTCTCCCCCTTTCCTTTTCTTCTTCTCCATCTTCTCCTTCTGGTCACATTATTTGACCCTTCTTGGGTCTGACCTTTTCCAGCATTCCTTCTCCTCTTCCCTCATCATTGTGGGGTGCATGTGATTCACAAGAAGAAACAAGGAACACTTATTGGCTGCTATCTTGCACTTTATAATGAGAAGTGTGTGAAAGTTGACCTATATTTTGTTATCACACACATCACCAGTATTTAGGATGAAAATAAAACCGGAATTGAATGCATGGTCTGTATCAAAGGCGTAGCTGTGATATTTACAAGAAGACAAAGTTGTGAAAGTCATCACAGGAAAGACTTGGTGTTGCTCTCCTTGTTCCATTCTAACTTACAACCACAATGGGAGATGGGTTCCTGTGGTAATTGTTCGCCTGTTTACTTTTTCATTCCACTCATGGAAGCCTTCTCCATCTTCTGGTGTTTATTGCAGACATTTCAATGGTAGGAGCATCCTCCACTTCACATATCTTTTTTTTCCAATTGAGTACATCATGTGATGTCACTTATTGCTTGGGTTCTCACCAGATACAGTTCTCAAGAATTGATATAATGCCATTGAAGTTCTTGCAGAAATGCATGCCTATCCCAACCCTGGTTGGGTACTTTTTTTGTGTTGTGCTTGCCAAGTTTTCTGATGAAATGTGATCTTGACCTAAATGGTACTAAACCCAAAAAAGATGAATAAATCTCATCATTGCTGGAATAAAAACGAATTGGATAGATATTTTGTTGTGTTCCCTGAGCACTTATTTCTGTTACATACTTTTTGTGTGCACTTTTGTGCTCTAAACCATTCATGAGTCATATTGCAAGTTCTCTCAAGCATAGCTGCTTGGGAAAAGGATTTTTCCCCATCCCCATTAATGATACATAATCATTCCATCATAGCAATTACAATTTTGTGGGGAATTTGGAGGTGATTTTTCAGGCTTTGCTTTCTTCACCTCACATTCCCTAGAACAATCTGAAGAATTTTCTCACCACCATGTTCGCAGGAAAACTGGTTTTAAAAGATAACCTGGTGGTTATCTTACCTTGCGAGGTAAGACACTCCTCTCCGCAGTATATTGCAGTATGCAACATATACAAATAAGAAATAACCCAGTGAACCCATGACACAGGTGCACTACAAACAAGGAATTAGAGGAGACCTACTTTTAATGTTTTCATCCCAAGGGGTAAAAAGGTACCTCATATGGCAAGGGAGAGTTTGAGTTATTCTTCAGAGGTTTTATTAAATGATAATTTGGAAGTAGGAAAGGACTGATCCTTGTGGCAATAAGATCTATGAGACTGGCTGGTGAAGCAAGCAACTCAGAGTCAGACAGTCCTGATCTGGATCAATCATAAGTGTAGCTTGAACAGAAACAGTTGGGGGTCATGGGAACTCTGGGACTTTCTTGAAAAGTGCCCTCCCTGGCTCCCAATGCTATGCTGCTGGAACCAATGGCCTTAAATATTATAAATGAGATGCATGATTTTGGTACAAAGAACCTTTTGGAAGACTGGCTGTGTTTGGCATAATACAGGGTGTTCAAAAAGTCACTGTGCAGTAGGATTCACGACATGATGTAGGAGGCCTCACTGCAGCTAGGAATTACAGACAATAAATTATGTGAATCAGGGATGGTGCTAATACTTGAAGTATTGAGTATAAATTCATGTCTGATTATGCAATACATGTGATATGCAGTACAATACTAGATACATGCAACAAAATAAATGAATTCTACTGCACAGTAACTTTTTGAACACCCTGTATTATGGCCCCCACAGACTAAAATTGAAGGGTATGTATGGGGGTGTAGTATTATGCCCTGCATGGCTAAGGGGTTGAAATCCTAATGCTACTTCTGGGATACCTGGTATATCAATCAAATTTGCCCTCTAGTTGGTTCCATAATGTTTAGGCACTGCATGTATCACATAATTGACAAGAGTACATGGCATGCAATATTTGATATTTTGACAGAACCCATAAAGGAGATTCTCAATTTCTCATGAGAGAATATCCCTAATGAGAGAATGTCCTTAGAAATGTCAATCCTTATAATCCATTAAAACCTGATGAGTTTGGGCTGATCATTTTCATTGGTAGCAATCTACACCACATTTGCAATAGCACAGGAGACTCATGCTGTGTTTAACTGACTCCCATTGTGAAACTGAAGTTGGATTCCACACTTCCCATGGCCAGGTAGTTTTTGAACTCCATGTTGCCAAAATCCTTGTGCATGAGTATAATAACAAGAATTGGAGTTTTGTAAGTATGAGAGGGGAAGAAACCATCATGACTCCATTTCTAACTGGTAATGACATCTTAATGTGTAAAATTACCTCTCATTTTCACAAGAGAAAGTGAGCTCTGAGATTTAAATTTTTCTCAGGAATTCCTAAGGATCTTTAATGTCTGATGACTTTTCATATGATTCTCTTGCTTCAAAGTATTGTTTCTTTACACTCGGAGGGTTGACTCCACACCATTCTTGCGTGATGTTGACGCAAAGGGTTTGGGATTCTCCTCCAGTCTCCATGAAGGGAATTAAATCAAATTGCCTGCATCAGCAGCATTTCAAATGAACAACAAAGTTATTTTTTGGTTGCAGATGAAGTGATACGCCAAAGACTTCTTCTTGATGCTGATGGAACTGGAGATGACCGAAAAATTTCAGCACTTATGAAAAATGCCTTGTTATGGTGTGATCAGGACTGCTCTCCCAGTGAATGGTTTGTTTTTTTTCTTTTTCTAATCTTGGGCATGGGTTAGGTCTCATGTTGAAGAGTAATTGTGCTTTGAATTAGGAAACAGTTTTCGCTCAATTAGTCGAAGGCTGTTATGCAATCCAGCTTGGCTCCAACTTCTGTATTAAGTGTGGTGTTCCACTTGCCTAATGTAAGCATGTGTGAGGGACATTAGTAAAGATACTGGAATTTACTCTAATGGTAGATTCTAGAGACTGAGCTGACTCTGGTTGAGATGGCCTACATTGGTACTGGCAATTGTTTGTGCAAATGCTTAGAGACTTGTTACTTTTTGTGGATTTTATGCTTTCTTTTAATCAATGTCATTTGGTATACCTAAAAAACAGGTCAAAGCAACATGCATTGACTGAGTTTCTGGTGGAATGTGTAAAGGCCTGAAAAACGTTGAAAGGCCAAAAAAATTTATATGGGAGTAGTTTTGTTGTGCAGCTGAGTTCTTGAATGGACGTCATATTGGGATGGGTGGACCTCTTTGTGATGACTCCCTGTCAGCTTGTCTCTCAAACTGTTCAATGATTGAAGGCCCCATCTCAGATAATTGTTGACACTGAAGGACATTTCAGAGGTTGCTTATCTTAAATTAGAGTTCATATCTTGCACACTGAATTTCAGATTTTGAAAGTCATTGCCTGCTAGGTTCCAATTTTTCAAGGTCTTTTTGCTTAACTTCCACGTGGCTTTTAAAGGAATGTTATATTTGATATATGATTGTATGTTCATTCAATACAATCCCCATCCAGTACACAGGATGTGATGTCCCATCTTAGGCTGACAGTCTTATTCTTTGCATATAGCATAGATAAGATTGGTAAACTGAGTGTTGAAAAGTAAACCCAGCTGACATTATTGACTGTCTATTCAACTACTCCATAGTTAATTCTGCTTTCCCATATGGTGGGTGCCTTTGCCATTAGTTACTTTGAAAAAATCAAGGCAAATTTCAAGCGAAGAATCCTTGTCATGAGACATTGCACATATTATTCCAATGGATTGGCCCCAAATATTGTCCTATCTCTGGCCAGTGAGTGAGGAATTAAGATCAGTTCAGATATGTCATTTGGAGTTCCACTCAAGTTCCTGCCTATTGTATCTTCCTAATGCAACTTTAGATGAAGACCTCAAAGTCCACACTGGACAGTGCAACCTATCTCAATTGGAAGAATGATAATTCCTGGTTTGGACATGTGCACATAATGCCCTTATTTTTGCTTACCTGTAAGATGCTTTACTGTTTGATGTACCTATGGTTATCTTTTGAGTGTCAGTGTCAACTGGTTTCAGAAATCTACCACTGTGAATCTAACATTTTTCCAGGTAATTTAATTAAAAAAAAAATAACTTCCATTTGAAACCCTAAAACGACAGTGGATGAAATCTAGGAATTTTACCTTTGACATCAATGCCAGGCAAAGGTGAGATGCAAGATGATACAAGGTCATCAAGTATCTTGTAGGTTTAGAAAACTTGTAATAAAGTATGACATGATCTTACCATTTCCCATTTAGTGAGGTTGGATATGAAAGTCTGGTAAACCAAGTGGTTGGGTGTCAGTTCTCCATCGACAAGTCTCAAGCAATGGTGGATATGAACAGCCTAGAACTGGATAAGTACCACCTCCTATCGGAGAGGATTCAGTCAGAAATTGCAACTACTCAGGAGGAAATTGAGAAGGTTAAGGCATCCCTCATCACAGCTCAGCAAGTGAGGAAGAACAAGATGGAATATGATGCATTGGCCAAAGTGATCTCTCAAGAGAAGGATCGCAAGGAAACTCAGCAGGAACTCAAGTGTCTCCAGAAGGAACTCTCTTCCTTACAAGTCTGGTGCATTTACTCATTTGTTCCAATGTTTTGGTTAATTTTTTAATTACATTTAACTTGTTTTCTCCTAGAATATGAGAGAGAAGCTGGAGATAAAAGTGGAACAGAGGAAGAAGGAGTTCCTGGGTCTCATCAGTGGCATTGGTCGCATGAAGGAACTGCTAGAACGAGAAGAGTATGAGACTATTGCATCCCCTCCAACGAGTGAGCCTGATCCTGATGTTCAAGTCATGGAACAGAATTAGTGGAGCATTTGACATAATGGATCTTGGATAAAGGTTCCACCTGGTTTCTCTGCTACCATCTCCTTGTTTCTGTACAAGTTTCAAGTTTGTGCAGCTGGCCAAAATAAATTTTTATTTCCAGTAACCCATACCCTTGTTTCAAAAGAATCTCTAACTGCACCAGTCAGTTGTATTACTGGGCTCCATATGACCAGAAATCCAATATTAAACCAAATATGAAAAAAAAATCCCAAGATATAACAAAAGTAGAAATAGATGAACAAAAAAAAAGCAAATAAAGCTCATTATGTGCATGAGATGAGACCAAAAATAAACAGATTCAAAGGGAGATAAGCTTCTGCACAGCGTTTTCAATTGCATCAGCTGAGATTCCAAAATGCTCAAGAAGCACAGCAGGAGGACCTGATCGTGGGATTCGAGGGACAGCCAGTTTCCACACCAATATGTCTCGCTCCAGGGCAACAGCTGACATCACTGCTTCACCCAGGCCACCTATGAAGGGTGACTTTAGAATACCAATTCTTGTTGGACCAGCCAATGGACAAAGAGACAGCAATGATACCCTCAGGATAGTGGTCTTCTACTGTAATGATGCGTCCTCCACATTCTTTGGCATGTTTGATGATTCCATCCTTGTCAATGGGCTTGAGAGTGAAGGGATCCATGACTCTGATATTGATGCCAGAACTACTGAGTTTTTCTGCTGCCTTCAATGCTTCTGCAAGGGTTACACAAGCTCCAATCACGAGAACTTGGTCACTTGTGCTCTCTCTCACCACTTTGGCCTTTCCAATCTGCAAATACATGCAATGATTACTTTCTTAGCATAACTAAACTATAGGACAAAATGTTTCTCACATGAATAAATGAAAATTTACAATGATTTGAAATATCTCCTGTAGCTTGCATAGAACCATGCCTACTATATACTAAAGGGGAAATGAGCAAAAAAAAACACTAAGCTAATCTTTTGTTCCTGTGAATAGACTTTTATTGTGAGGAATGTTACTGCAATTGTCCAAATGATGGTCAAGGAAAGAAACAAGAAAGCCCAGTCCAGAGGTGAGACTCCTGTCAATGACACTGGGAAACAGAGAGAGTATACAGCAAATAGGTAGAGATTGGAAGATGGGAGGAGAGTACGTGTGTCATAAAGTTCAGTAATCAACCTTGTGTACTGAGTCACTTACAGACACTCCCTCTGGCACCAATGGATCCATCAACTACAAAAATTGAAATGGGACTGGCAGCTTTGGTTCTAGGCATGACACACAATCTGGGCTGAGTGTTGCACATGCAAACTGAGATCATTATCCAGGCCAGTTGACAATTGCTCATTCCTTCCCCACTGAAAAATATCTGCAATTATGTTTTTGTTATAAATTTGCCATAAATGAACTTGGCATTTATCTTGCACCTATCTCTTGGCATGCCAATTTTCTGTGATCAGGTTAATATACTTTTAGTTATAGTCGGGCAATACTGTGTCTCACACTTGCATTGTCAGTCACTGCAAGTGTGAGACACACACAAATACAGGATGGGACTAAATGTAGTTTCTTCCCTTTTAGGAAAAGACCAAAATGATGGAAGTACGACACTGCAATTTAAAGGGTGGAATTTACCCTTTTTGCATTAGGAAAAGTAAACTATAGAGCAGGAGCTCAGCTATGTACATTTTTGCCAAGGTTACTTCATTATATACTAAGCAAATATATTTGTTGGGCATGTGAGAAATAATATCACTAAGAATCAAAGAAACTGAGGAACTAAAAGTATCACTTAAAATAAATCCAGTCTAGGATCTCAGTAAAGAAGAAATCACTATTCTTCTGACAAGTCTTACTTGGAATTCTTCATCATTAGGATATATATTGGGAAGGGTAGGACGAGAAGTGCGAATGAATACGATCCCTTTTGTGTTGGCAGCCAGTTCAACAGCTCTTTCAGTGCTCACACCATCACTAGGATAGAACACTGTGGCAGAGGGAATGCTCCGGAACATGGCCAGGTCTTCTAGAGCCATCTGCGAAGGACCATCTTCTCCAATGCTCACTCCCGCATGTGATCCAACACACACAATGTTACCTTGAGATATGGCTCCCATTCGTAGCTGACATGGAGAAAATGAAAAAACTTAATACATTAATATAAATTAATAATAATAGCACAGACTAAAAATGATGCTTATGATGAATTCCCATCACTCACCTGATCAAAGGCACGAGTGAAAAATGCAGCAAAAGTGGAGACAAAAGGGATGGTCCTTCCTCGGCAAGCAGCACCAAGGGCAACTCCAACGAGATTCTGTTCAGCTATATAACACTCAATGTGTCGATCTGGGAATTCCTGGAGAAATCACATAATCCAATGAAAAATTGAAAGATTGTAAAGCTGTCAAGGATCTGACATGAAAAAACCAGATGAACCACAAAAATGACAAGAGCATTGGAAACTTTCAAAACTTGGAAGCAACCTTTTATATAAAGCAGCTTGTAAGGACTTGTCTCTCATTGAAGAGATCACCCTATAAAGGGCAGATCAAGCATCACCTCCTTTGCAAGTATTATCCCTCAGGCTGGTTTTCTGCACCCCATATGCACAGCATTTTCTTTACCACAGGCAGTTTGCAATTAAAATACTGGCTTGTGGGAATACAGGAGTTTAAAAATGATTTCCTAGGTGTCTCAATGTTTCAAGATGACATTAAGCATCTTTTTAGAAACTCTAGAAGTTTATGAAGTGAAAGCTCCTGGAGCAGAAGCAGTGGCTGCTCCCTCTGGATTGAAAACCCAAAATGCAGCTGTTGCTTCACTCCTTCATGCAAAATTTGTTTCTTTATTTCCTCCTTCAATTGCACAGAAATTCTTTCATTTCTGGAGATCATCCAAAAATGACTCATGATCCACAACCTGATTCACATATCACCACTAAAGTTCACCTTTCAGCACATTATGAGAGACTGCACCAGTCCTTTGATGGTGTCATGAATTTCAGACTCAAACCTGTTGACTGGCTGACTAAAAATATATTATTGATTTTATTAGATATTTCTTCTGGGCTAGTTGATATTCTTCCACTTGATCCCATGCTTTGAATATAACACATTCAACACTGAAGGCACTGACCAAGCACAAGTTCAATATGTGGGTTGGGACATCAAGAATTCAGCAGGTGGAAGAACCAGTGGGTAAATTCAAATACCCAGGAGGAAGGTATGAAGTTAGGAAAAAATAAAGGCTTCTTCATTCTTTCAGGCCATTATAGTTGACCTGACACTTTGAAACTATCTGCTTCCTCATTGAACATGAAAGCCACAAGGATTTGCTTGATCTTGTTCAAGGAAGAATTATTAAAACTCAGTCTAGCAAATTGAAGACCACTCTCAAAATCTATTTGCTTTGGAAATATAAATAAACAAATTATGGATATCAGACCTGCGATGGCATGCACAGATGTGGCATGTTTTCATGCAATTAACTTCTGGCCAGTTGGTTTGCACACCAACCATGATTCAGATGTAATTGTCTACAGTCTGGTAAAATCAAGACGAAAGTGACACTACAGGAGGTTTGCAGGAGAGTTCCCATTAATGAAGACCCCTGCATGTATCTTCTGAAACTCTCAAAATTCTTATCTGGATATTTAAAAAATGGTATAATCACCATAATCCCTCCACAGTAAGCATTTTTGATCAATAGTGACAATGACAGTTGACATTTTTTAATTTCTTGTTTTGGCATCCCTGCTGCAGCAAAACTGATAACATAGCACAGACTTACATTTTAGTGAATTTACTATAATATCTAGCACAGGTTTGGCAAAGTTTTAAGCTGACCAGTTTAGATAGCATCAATGGCTTTTCCAGAAACCCTCCTGGAGGATTCTCTTCAAACTCTAAGATTCTGTTTCTAGAGAAAATGCTGAAAGCCTGTTATCCTTTCCATTGTCATGGTTAGCATTAACATGGACTGTCTTACATTTCAAAGATGCACCTAAATAAATGACCTATTATTGCCATCACCTAGTAGCTATTTCCAGAATTCCTAATCCAAGTCATTGATACTATCAGGAAAAAAACTAAGCTCTTCAAATCAAAACAGTCACATTTTGGTTACAACCAATGTAGAATGGATACATAAATCCTATCCAATTAATCTTCATTATGTAATATGTTGAGGTGAAGGCAAACTTTCAGATTAGCCTTGTCTGGATTCTATTACTAAAGAGAACACCTCATAGGTAAAATCCAACACTTACCTTTTTGATTTTATCAGAGTAAGTGGAATTTTTAGTATCTCCGTCAAGAGCAATGATGTGTGGACTGCTGCGAGCTAACTTGAGCAGAGCAGTACCATATGCCAAACGAGTTGCTACCAGCTGGCCCTTCTCATAGCTTGGGGGCTCAGACAATTGCACTTTCTCATTATGAAGATGAGCTGCATCCTCCTTTAGTGGTGTTTTAGGAACCAGGGTTGATGCTCCTTTGTTTGCAATCAGAGATTCAATGGCCTGCAGAAAGAGGAACAGATTATGATAGCAGGCCCTGTATACAGTTTCATAAGTTTTGTCAATAAAAAGTAGTCACCTGAATGGCAGAGGCTGACTCATCTCCAAGGGGCTTTCCATGCCAATTTTCCTTATCTTCTACATTTGGTATCCCTTTCCCCTTGTATGTTTTGGCCAAAATAGCAGACGGCTTTCCTTGCACATTTGATGCTTCATAGAAAGCCTTTAGGCAAGAAAAAATGAATCAGATATAGTATCAACTTGAGAGCAAGGGCCTGAGACAAAAAGTAACTTCTGGAGAGCCAAAAGGGCCAGAAAATTCCTCCTTCTAAAGAAGCAAGTTATTGTATTTCCATGGAAAGTGGATATAAACAAGGAGTAATGAAAATACTGCAAGTTGGGTAATGTCATTATGGTACCACTCCATGAAGTAACCGATTATCATTATTCAAATGAAAGCACTATCCAAAGTGATGTAAGACATGATTAGCTATTGCTTCTAGGATTTGTCTATTTTCATCACCATCATTTCCTGAATGTTGAAGATTGTAACACATCCTTAAAGGGGACTGCATAAAAGAGAACTGGTGGCAAAAATATCCATACTTTTTCTATATAATCATATAAGGAATAGAGTAGGACAGAGGACTTAAGAGGAAAGACATATGCTTCATTTTGGAGTTATAATGAAAGCAATTAAAGTTCTGGGCCTTTACATTATTACTGCATTTTAAAATCAAAGCACGAGGTAAAAACATGAATAAAAACAAGAGAAATACTTTATATATAAAAAACACCTTTCCTTTTAGACAAGGGAAGGGTGATATGATAGAAATCAAAACACATTTATCTTTTGTTAATTTTTAAATTCTAGTCTTTAATGGTCAAAATAATGTGATATGGAGAGGTGTTGCACTCCTGGTTCTTGGGTCATGCCACTTGCTACCCCGTCAAAATAGAGCAAAATGAAGACATGCCTACATGCAAAAATGCAACTAGGGGTGGTTACAATGTCTCTGTTTTGTTTGTGCTTCCATGAGTATATTCATTGGATATATGTCTAGGCTGACAGAGGGCCATGCTTCAGCAAAGTATGTTTTTGCCAGACTAATTGCAAAATACCATCATGTTGCAATCATAGTCACATCTCACTTGACGAATTACACACACTATAGCACTATTATAAACAGCAAAGGTGTTTGCTAATTCAAATAGAGGAATCTTCAGACTCAAAAGTTTTCATATACTTCATAATTAAGAAGAGTAATTCCCTGAATGAAATAGGTATTTTACTTTTAAATCAAACAAGGAACAACTGAAGGCCTTGACAAACACAAATTCCTACATTAGGAGTGGTCAAATAAAAGTATTTCATTGCACCAATCACTCCATTTTGGGGAAGGTCTGGACAGTTTCATCATCCTTAGTTGAGACTTGCATCTAGTTCTTTTGAGTCCATTTTATACAAAATATTAGGATGCTTGTTTCAATGCAGTGTAACTATCTCTTTACACTTCAACAGACTTTAAGAACAAAAATATGAAACAGGAAGGGAGATGTCTCCCAGGGTGTGCCATGACCATGTGCCAAACACCAAAAACAGTAAGGGGATGGCAACAACTGAATCAAGAGCAAGAAGACTTGGTGCATGAATTGACAGCAGTAAATCCATCTGGTCATGGCACTTTGGCAGACCAGAAGGTACAGCAGGGCAGAAAAGACATGCACCCAGTTCAGATTTTTTCTTGTCTATATTCTATGGCTGCAGCAACATTGAGTTCCTAAAACCTAAGGGATTGCTACCTTGCAAAGAGCCTCAATGTTGTGACCATCCACCACAAGGGTGTGAAATCCAAAGGATTCAAGACGGTTCTTGTAGACATCCATGTCATGTTGCAAGATGGTGGGATCAGACTGCCCAAGTCGATTCACGTCAAAAATGGCAACCAGGTTGTCCAGATGGTAGTGACTGGCAAAATTTAGAGCTTCCCATACTGACCCCTCAGCACTCTCTCCATCTCCAATCAGGCAATATACCCTAAAGCAAATTACCAAAAGATACAGACTGAACTTTTGTTTCTGGAACCCCATGCATACAGTGACCTTGACTCCAACTCACATATGTTAGTTGGAGTCAAGGTTGGATCTCATTTGAGATCAAATAATTTTATGATGAAAAAAAAAGGAAGAGATGAGTTAATTTTTTTAAAAGATAACTCACAACCATCAATCTAGAATCAGTATATCTAAAACAAAAGCCTGATGTGAATTCTCATCCTACCTCACCTTGGTCTCACCTGTATGAAGCCTTGTCAAAATGCTTGCCAACATAAGCCATCCCAGCAGCCACACTCAGGCCTTGGCCCAAAGATCCAGTAGCAACATCAACAAAGTTTAACCTTGGAGTAGGATGTCCCTCCAAATCAGATTCAAATTTTCGAAGGTTCAGGAGGTCTGATGTGGGAAATAGTCCTGCTTCTGCCCATGCTATTATTTAAATAAATAAAAATTAAAGCACAATTTGTCAAGTGCATACTCCAGATTTCACAAAGACTCTTGTCCTACCATCTTCAATCACTCCGAAAACTGCTCACCTGCATAGAGGATGGGTGCAGCATGACCTTTGGACAAGATGAAGCGATCTGATGATGGATCCCTCGGCTCCTTCACTTTGTAGCGCATGGTGTTGAAAAACAGCACTGACATGATCTCTGCCATGGAGCAACATGATGTTGGGTGACTGCAAAGAAAACCACAAGCAATCTACAAACAGGCAGGCTTCCATACAAGTAGCAAATCGAACCAAGATACCTTTGCAACAATGTAAACAAAAAATTGAGAAAAATTTAGAAAGAAATACCCCGATTTGGAAGCATTGGTGGCCTGAATGGAGAGAATTCTTAGACGATTGGCCAGATCTTGAAGTTCCTGAGAACTGGGAATCGATTCGTCATGAGTGGAAGGCATTTTCCGAACGCTCTCCAGAATCCTCACAGACAAGTAATCCAATTACTACAAACCCAGCGACAATAAGCCGAAAGCGGATACGAATCGGAACCGGCCGAACAGGCTTGGCATATATGGATTCAGGCTGCCTCGCCTGCTCGGTGTGTCGCAATTGGGCGCAAGCGCACCAGAATCGAGAGGAAATAAATTGTACCCCTGAACCCTTTTCGGGTTTTCCCACCCAGAAACCACGCAAAAAGAGAAAGTGATCACGCAATCTTCCAATTACGTATGAAGGCTAGTCAACCTCAAGTTTCTCCGTGGTTTCATCACATTTGCCAATAGGAAACTCGATTGAGGAATCGGCTCATATTCCAAGTCGGTTTCCTCAACAGAGAAATAACCGACGAATCATCTCGTTTTTCTGTGACCTTGAGAGCTGAAATGGATTCCACACGTGCACGTATACTGCTGACACTACCAGAACAACCAATGTGATTCCGTCATTAGTCACGGTCTCGTTTAACAGTAACATTGAGCTCACCAACTATGAGCCTGATATTCGAAAACATTCTTGCACGATGTAGACTGACTTCAGGAAAAAAAAAAAAACTCCCAAGGAATGGTGAAATAATCTTTCATCATTGGCTTACCCGGATTTTCCTGCTGTGGTTGATTGGATGGAATGAATGCGAAACTTGTGAGCGATGTCTCGTAGTTCCTGGAGAGACTTGGCCTCTGGCTTGTGGTAATCGGACATCTTGAGGTTCTTTTCTCTTGGGAACAAGAAATGACTATGTGGCTGCCGTCACACCCTTCTCTAGCCGGCCTCTATCTCTCCCGATCCTCGCCTTAGGAAATTGTCCTCGGCTCGCAAGTCACTGTTGCCGGATCCAGTCACCGATTTTTCAGGGACTCACTGAAGAACTCGTTTCGTCATGTCTATTCTAAAAGATATCAAGCGGATCAACGATTTGCATTGACATTTCAACATATTCTTTCTTTGGCCAGCTTTTAGAGGGAAACGATGGATCGGTAGGGAGAACGGGCAACATTGACACATTTTACCTCTGACTAATGGCTGCTCACTAGAATTCTGGATGACATGTGCTCCATTGCCATGAAGGCAGGGTTTTCTCCCGTCAGTCTCATTCCTGCCGATCTCGAACGGGATGAACTCGCTAATGAGATCGTCAACTCATTTCAGTATATTACCAAAGTATCGGACATCATTTTTCAACGCTTAGATTGCAAACTCAGTGATGTCAGGGCACGATTGGATCGTATCAATGAACGTGCGGAGACTGCAAGGGAAAAAGTTGCCAAGATTACGGGGTCCACCAAGGCTTTGAGGGTGAGTGCACCTATCTCAGTTGAGAATCGCTCGCCAGTCAGCGTCCATCTGAAAGATTTGGATAGGGATGTTAAGAGGTTTTCCCGTCCATACTGTCCTGAGATGTTCGGTCGAGTGCTTATCCCCCCCGCCCTCTGAAAAAATAAATGTGTTGTTGGGAATGAGTAGTCATGTTTAGCCTACCTACCTGCAACTATGTTGCTCTCCTTCTTTCCTGTTTTTCTATCCATTCATCTAACTTTAAAGCTACCTTTAAAGTCAGTCATGCATATAAATTCAATTGCATTTGCAGCTTGATGGAGAAAAATTTTTTTTTCTGCAACTTGGGTCTTAATTAAGGCTTACATAACTTCCACTGGTTCCCCCTTTCTTTGCTGGTACAATCATGTTGAAAAATAAGACCTCTTCAAGTTATAATGCAAAGTTATTACTTACACAAACTTATATTTTAGGGAGATCCCCTTAATGAACCTTCTATGCAACAATTACTGTCCCAATATGCCCAAACATTACTTTTACATTCTGCTGACTTCTTTTATCAGTTCTGTAACCTGTCCTGGAACCCTCTCCCATCATGAATAATCTCCTGTATTTGTAGGCCCTTAAATTGAACAGACTACTTCATGCAAGCCCTTATCTACTTCGTATGATGCAAGAATAACCTGTGAATTCTTATCAGTCATTAGCTGCAGATGAAAGCCCAAGATCTTGGTATATTTTGTTAATCAATTTTTCATTCCTTGAGAAAAGAGAATAAATGATAATCAGAACTAACTTGGCCAAGGAGACAATTGGAACTAAGACTACATAATGTAAAAATGTCTTGAGACCTCATAATTGGAAACAGAGGAGTCCAGAAAAGAAATGGATTCCAGCAGTCAGAATTTCACCCCCAGAATATTACATTCAACCTTGACAGGGCAACTACAGGAAAGGAACTAAGCATGCATCAGACATCCTGAAAACTCATGAGGTCTTCTCATAATGTCTAATCACCTGCTTGTGGCAAATTTACTCATATGGGAGCAGTCATATATGAGCAAAAACAGCATGTGATGATGCCTTAAGCCTAAGTAAGAGTCAGTGTACATAGTGGTGTGCATATAAACATGCAATAGCAGAAGTTTGATCTAGATTGAATTGAAAATCTATCTTCTGGGCTCCTAGCAAGCTATTATCTCATATCACTCATTCATTATTTCTTGGGATATTTCAAATTTTCAGGTATTCAGCAGTGCCAAGTATCCAGGAGAAGATGAGAGGAAAGACTATGAGAGTGCCTTCAAAACTGGGACAATGCCATTGCCTCCAGGAAGGGATGTGACTCTTGTTTCCAGTGGAAAGCCCTTGGGGAGGCTTACTAATAGGGGTAATATGCTAGAGAAGCTTGAGTTCTTCTATGTCAAGCTGCCCGATGACGTTTCAGCTGAGTATAAAGATGAGGGTGGTTTAGGTTCCCTTCCACACTCTCTCGTGTCAGTTGATTCTCTTCTTCTTTTCAACACCTCCCAGAATCCGTAAGGATTATGCTTTTATTCTTGCTCCAAAGAAATTGAAATGGTTATAAACCAGTCCTCCCTTTCTTTCTCTATCCTCAGGTACAAGAAGTACACTCTCTTTGATCCCTTATCTGGGGGGATGGTTCGAGTGCATCGTCCAGAAGTGTCTCAGCAGAACCAAGAGGGTGGATTAGCTGAAGCTCCTCATTCTATTCTCCAAGGAGAACAACTTCAGATGGTTGAGAAAGAATCATACTTTTACACCCCTGGACTGGGGGATATTCCAGACTTTGATGCTCCTCCAGCTCTCCCTGATCTCCCAGGTGAATTGATATGTTGAAGTATTTTATTAAAAATGATGTCACCAACATTCTGAAGTGACTGGCAGCTAATTGATCAAAATTACTATTACTCTTGAAGTGCTTGATGAGTTAATTGATTATTTAATTTCTTTATGATGGACCCACAATTCTCTGATTTTTGAAGAGATTTTAAAGGTGGCAAGAGAAATGTCATGTGGTGAACTGTACTCCACCAGATGATATTTCTGTCATCACATCATTCTTAATGGAGTAGCATTTTAGCATATGGACAGGTCAAAGGATCCTGCCTAATTAATGTAGATGGAATCCATGGAGAGGGGAGTTTATCTATTTACATATATGGGTTCCTATATAAATTTGGTAAACTGCAATGAATTTTTTATTATTTCAGGGGTAGCTGATGATTTGACATATAGTGGAGAGCTGGGTCCAGGTATTGCACCATCCATACCAGAATCTCTGAGAGCTGCTTTGCCAGATCTCTCTGAATTAACTGAAAATAATGTGATACATTCAAGCTCTACCCAATCATCTGCTAATATTCCCCCTCCTCCTATCTGCTTTCCTTCCATCCCTGTGAGCATCCCTAATAAAGATGCAACTGATGCACCTCCTATTCCTCCACCACCTCCTCCTGCCCCTGCATTAACAGTTCCTCCTCCACCTCCTCTACCTCCTCCTGCATCCATGTCAATACCTCCTGCCTATTCCTCTCCTCCTATTGAAGTTGTTGCTGAGAGACCAATTCAGGTGACCATACCATTTTCATGAATGGAATGCCAACATGAAACTGGAATTTAATTTGTATCTTACACTGAATTTGTCCCAACAGTTACCTTCAGACAACTGTACCGATGCTCGTGCTAACTTGTTAGAGGAGATTCGCAGAGCTGGGGGGACACGCAATGCCAAACTTCGTTCTGCTGAGCAGCGTAAGCTTCAGGACATGAAGAAGAGGAAGGTAAGAGCTATAAATGGTTACTGTTGTCTTTCAGAAAAAATGCTAAGTTTCAAAGAAAGTTTGAGCATCTGTAAGCTTGTTCCATATTTATTATGAAATTGTTACAGTGGTGTACAATGGTCCATGATACTGGTCATTCAGATGTTTCTCAACTGTGTAGGAAAACAAAATAAAATAAGACCTACCTACTTCATTTGTAGACAAAGTCAAGCTGGTGTGATTTAAATGAAACCATGAAATGGAAGCAAAATGTAATCAATACAGAATATGGTGTACACTTATGATCATTGATAAATGCTGAATTTTTCTAATCCAAACTGGTCATGCCTTACATGTCTTAACCCATTGACACTGGGAACCGTAATATTACATTTTTAAACCCATAGTGTTCTGGAGTCGCTGGGCGTGAATGTGTTAACCACATGCCACTGAATTACCTGTATTATGAAATATATTTCAATGATTCATACTTTTCATTTAGCTATAGAAATTGGTAAGAAAGGATATCATCTTTAAATCTTAAATAGAGGAGTCTTAAGTTTGTTTATGTTATTTAAGGGTCTGTGTGCCTGAAGCAGACATGCAGCTCAGAATTTGGGAACATGGAACTGCACTAGTTAGATTTTGGAAATGGGACTCTTACAATAACTCCATTATCTATATCACATTGCACATAACACGATGGTATGAATTTTTACAATTTCCCTCTTGACAAATATGTTCCCCTGCCTTTAAGTTATTTCTGTAAGTTTGGTAATGTTTTGAGTGTCTTATTGAGCTGAGTTCAACTTAATCCTTTGGGTACAGGGTGCATCCATTGAGTCTCCTCACATACATTCACCTTTATTGGCTGAACCTAAAACAAACAAGTCTGTCACAACCTCCTGAGTGAATGCTGTTTTAGTTTTACTCCTTGACCTACCTGACATAACCTATCCTGACTAGAGTCATAATAAAATCTTGAAATAAAAATTGTAGATATTCAAATACTTATATGAGTACCTCTCCAATGGTGAGGACCACTCTGATAAGCACCAAATTCTAGGAGTGCATAAGTAGCAAGATTTTTTGCTTCAAGGACCCCATTCACCTTCAAAGCAATATGCTCTGAAGAGCAGGAGTTGTCTGGGACAATCTCACCCAGTAAAGGTGGGAAACCTCAATCCACCTGTCATGCTTGTTAGGCTCCCAGAAAATTTTGACTACTTGGGATCCTGAAAGATTCACTGCAAGTGTAGATCTGAATTGGATAGTGCCTCTTTCCAGTTGCTTATTAACACACCTAGCAGCTTGCTATAAACAGGGTTGTTGGCAACCATTTATAAAAAAAAATGTGTGAAAAAGTGATCATATATCATGATCATAAACCTAAGGTATGTTTTTGTCCTACAGATAGTTGCTTTTTGACCACACTTCATATTCTTACTATAGGCATGTTCTCCCCAGCTGCTCATATTTGGATAAGAATTGCATTATGAATTTAGCAAAGGACACCTCACCCTTTTGATTCATGTACATTAGACCATGTTCTGTTTTGAGGCCAAAACTGGGCAGACACTTTTTCATTCTTTGAAAAAGGAATGAAAATTTATTATGGAAATGTTCATAGGATTACTGTCATGTCAAACTTTGCCAAATTTTACTACAACTCACAAATGTAATGAACTTGAAATCTACTTGGTTTTTTTTTGTTTTTCATCTGAGATCAAATTAATAATGAAAAAAGTTGACATTCTGAAACTCCCATAGGCAGTAATATGTATTAAATGGTCATGTCCACCCATACCCTGCAGACATCCTCCTTTCTTCCTTTATATTCCCCCATTTATTTTTTACTTGTATTGTTAATCATGATGTCTATAAGGAAATGTAATTTCCTTCTTATTATTATTATTGTAGGGAATTATACTTACTTTTTTTTGCAGGATGCAAAGGAGACACCAGGAGCTGTTGGAGGTGGAGACCTCATAGAAGCTCTTCGAAGAACATTAGAAAAGAGACAAGCAGCCATGTCAGGATTGCAGCCTGCTACATCATCTACTGCTCAAAGAAATAGTGAAGATGATGATGACTGGGCTGATTAATATTTATGCAAGATACTGTGATTGCACTGATTACCAATTTTTCCATTTGGGATATCTTCCATTATGCTGTTATAATGGTGATGTACACCCTTTGTGTTATCTTTCTAAAGCCTTATCTTTATCGTTGAGGTGAGAGTTGTTTTTTTTTCCTCGTGGAGGGATGCAAAGGAGACACTTCAGAGACATCTTAGCTCTTTGCAGAACATCAGTAGAGGTTGCTACAAGAGGTAATCTATTAGTTTCTCTCCTGAGATATAAGGGAATGTGATTCATTGATGAAGCAAAATTATTTTTTCAGCAATTACCTCCCTGGGCATTAATATTTGCCTCATTGATGGAACAGGGGTTCAATTTTATGAGAAAATAATGTATTTTTTCATAGTCAACTAATAATGCTTTGACAGTCCTTTGAATTGACATTATTGTCAATTTCACCTTTGTGGCCACCACATAGGAAGTTTTGCTTTAGATTTATTGCATTGAATGAGCTGTTTTGTTGGGATGAATACATTTATGTGATGAAATGAATGCTTTAATTAATCATATAATATTTAAAAACTGCTCTATCTTCAGATTTTGCCATTTTGAAATGAATTAACTTTTAGCTAGAATATTTACTATAGCAAATTATTAATAAAAATATATAAATGTACCTAAAAGCAATTGCCGACACTTAAAATTACCGAAAATATGAAAAAAATGTGGAAACCAACTTTCAGCCTTCTCTGATCATTTTCACAACCTCAGGGCAGAAACTTTTGAATCACCCCCCATATGTCAGGATTGCAGCCTGCAGCATCATGTGCTACCTCTCATTGATGATAATAAGGAAGATGAAATAGATTAACCTTTTTGCCATCATTGCATTTGGTCAAGAAAAGGTAAAAACCTGACCAAAAGTATAAAAGTAAAAGTTAACATTATTTAACCTGTCAAGCATGTAATTTTCTGAACAAGGTGGAATCCACAAAGTTTACATTTATACTCATCTCCAAAAAGAACACAACCATGAAGCGCATGACTGATTCAGATGAAATTTGGTACACAAGTTTTTACTTGCATACCATGACATCAATAGAGTTTTAACAATGTGGAATGATTGTACACAGAGAAAACTTGCTAAACACTACAATTTCAATATTGACCATGTGGTCATACTAATTGCCTGAAATGGTCTCACAGAATACTTTTATAAATGAAACTCTTCAGGGAATCTAAAGACATGCAAAAAAATCAAGTGAAGGTTCAAGGTCCTGAGATGAAGCAACGAAGAGAAAACTTGACAAATTCCCAAGGAATGGAGGAAGAGAGCAATGCCATTGGAGGTCTCTGCTTCCTCTTCTCTTTCCCTAAAGCTACTTCACTGGGCACATTCAGTTTTGACCCGGGTCATGACTCGAGGTTCATGATTCTTGGCAGGTGCAGCACTTTTCAAAAACTATTATACCCAGGATTGATGACATTGACAAGAGGTGTCACTGGAGTAAAATTTATTTTGAAGCCTCAATGCAAGCGTTGACCCATGAGCGTCACAGATGTATAAGTCAAACCCATTGTAGAAAGAGCAATAAAAATCCTGACATATACAGGGTAGTCTAAAAAATCTTGGACTCCAAGGCTATCAATGAAATTTACAATACCATTGTATGAAATCAAATTTTATCACAGGTAAAACTATACTAGAGAATTGCTTCATGTGAAAAATGTTAATTTAATTTGAGCAATGAATCTCCAGCAATTGCAGCAGAATTTCAAAGTGGCCCCTATCTTGATCAATGCACATCACAACTCACCATCGGAACAGATCGATCACTCTGTTTATTTTGGCCTGATCCAGGAGTTGCCTAGTTTCATTGACATGCTCAATGAGGTGGTTTTTATCCAAAATGGCCCCAGTAAACACATGTTGACACAATCTTTCCTTTCATAATAAACCACTGGTTAGGAACACAATTGTCCAAGTATCCCTGACTTCATGCAACTTGATATGTGACCCCAGATTCACCTGTCCTCAATTTGATGGATTATTATGTAAGGAGAGACTGTCAACACTTGTATACTGAGACCATTTGGTATGAAAACCACCTCATCAAGTATTAATGAAGCTTGGCAACTCCTAGGAGTTGATCCAGCTAGATTGAGCTGAAATAAACAGAGCAGTCAATCTGTTCAAATGGCAAGTTGTGGTGTGCATTGATCAAGGTGGGGGGGTCACTGAAAATTTGCTAGAGATTTATGGCTCAAATTAAATTTTTTTTTTGTTAAAAAAAATACATTTTTTTGACATGAAGCAATGCTCTATGTATAGTTTCATCTATGATAAGATTTGATTGCATACAATGATATTGTCAATTTCATTCATGGGGGTCCAATATTTTTTGGACCACCCTGTAGACAGTATGTCATACCTGCTTGATGGGTTAATTTCTTTGATTACATCTAATAGAAAACAGTCATGAGATTCAGGAATGCCACATGAGCCAACCCATTCTTGTCTTTACAGGTTAAATATCAGTCTCAGTCTCAGGTATTTTATTATACCATGAATGCCCATTTTTTATTAAAATTATTATTAATGTTGCTACGGTGACAATATTCTATCCATGAACTTGTACATAAAACCAATGATGGAGTAAATGCCCACTGGTACCTACTCTTAGACAACAGTGATATTTAGTTTCAACTCCAAAATTTCATTTTCTAGTTGATGTCAATCTGTACATACTAAGAATGTAGGTCATAATGAAAAATGGCTACATATGAAATGAGATGCAAAAATTTCCCTGGAAGTCCCTAATACATTTTTACTGCCATCAATATCTACATACATCTATCTTCTTGCCATAAAGTTTTCTGCTGCCCCAGCTTATTCTCTAAACAAGCAGTTAATTTTTTATACCCACCAGTAGACAATAAGAACTATCCACAGTTCCATAAACCCTTTTAATATGACTCTGATGTTACTTCATCCATGGTTTATCAATTGGTAAAGTTTCTGAAGAAACAGATACAGTCAACTCCGCTTAATGGAATACTCACTGGACCAGCAAACTTTATTCTATAATCTGGAGTATTCCAATAACTGAAAAAATCATACTGTACTTCTACTTTGTACTTCAGGCAGCTTTAAAAATGTATATCCTAAAGTACAGTACCCGTATTTGCGTATTACGATATTTTGCTACCTTGTTTTTGGTGATCTTTGAAACTTGGGGCTGAGATCCAAAACTACTGTGCCAGTTCAGCTCGCATCTTCTTTCGTCCTGATGAGCTCTCAAAACTGAAATATTTTCGGCCAAGCTGAGGTCTTTCCTTTTCTGCATGTTCAACTTGAAATGTGCAGAACATGATCCCTATAAGCTCAATTCATTGTTCATAAACCTTCTTTCACTTTCACCTTTAAAAAAAAGGCATGCTTATTTGCCTCTTTTCTGCATCTGCAACCTATACTTACCCTCCAATTTTTAGGAAAGGGTGAGCTTGCCTTCCCTCCTGTTCCTGCCATTGATTCACGGAGGAGTCAAGTGGGAACTCATGACCTTGGTTCTACGATGCAGGAGGGTAGGACTGGGAAAAGGGCTGGAAGATACTTCCCAAGAATGCGAATGGGAAAAAAAGTATTTCATTTTACAGTGAACTGAAAAAAGTATAGCATATTTCAGGAAATTTTTATTCCTTTAAGCGGATTATTCTAATAACCACATTCCTCTATGCGAAGTTTTCCATAATGTACCCATGGTAGAAAAATCAGGACTGTGCAATGGTATTCATTAAGCAGTATTCTATTATGCAGTCGACTATAACTAAATACCAATATAAAAAATTTTACTGAGGGAAAATCATCAAGAAGAGGTGTATATTTTTCTTATGTGAAAATTAATCATAATCATCATCCAAAAGAAGTATGCATCTTTTTCTTTCTGAGAAAGTACACTTCTGTCAGTTTTTTTAGAATTTGTTATTTCATGAAAAATGTAAATTTTTAATTATAGCTAATTCCTGATTACCTGAATTTATTTAAAATACATTTGTGAATTATACATTTGTGAATTTATAAAAAACAAGTGGACGTTTTTAGCTCTATCCAACCATGCAATGCTCTCAGATGTAATTCATCCCTTTCTCAGCTATCTGAGTTTTGGCCAGAAAAATGTCACTTTGTATTGTCTAGAATATGGTAGCAGAGAACAGAGGAATATGTTTGTATTGGTTATCCAGCAAAATGAACTTATTGGTAAGGTTAGAAATTCCAATCAGGTACTCAAATGAGATGGATGGAGGTCAAAGACTAACTAACTTCAGTGCCTTATGTCACAATCTAAAGTGAGGATGAAGTTAGGTATAAGCTGAATATTGCTGTCTACATTCCTGATTAAGGTGTAAGACAGTTGCTTAAAATCACATCCACTCTTCATTGCCAAACATTGCAACATTAGGCTTTGGAGAGAGCAAGACTGGAACCCTAAGCTAATCATGGACTGTTAGATTGTCAGCCTGAATATATGATAAGATCCAGAACTGGAACACCAGTGTGTAGTGCTATGACATTGGGAGGGCTACTGTGCCTACCACACAGCACAGTGACACCTCATGTATTTACCTGATTGAATTACTTGTCTCAAGATCATCATGAGGCACCATAGGGATATCTGCTGTAGAACACTTAGCAATATCTCAAAAGGGATGCCTCTTAGACACTTTTCAGCTGAATGCTTCTCAATATCCCAAAAGAGTACATTCTAAATTTGGTAAAAATTAATTTAAAAAACCATTAATAATGAACTAGTTTTTCTGCATGATTTTGCTAAATACCAAGTGCTTCTCAGGTGTTTTGCCTCCACGAAGTACCCTGCTGGTGGTCTACATGGCCCCAAGACCTACAATACACAGGCTCACTTCTCATGCCTGCTTAACTAGGAAGAAAAGCTATGGTTTCTGGGAAGACAAATAACTCAATCCACCTTTGTGATGCAGAAAGAAGTTTCATTTACATGGGATAATATTTTTTTATTTTACTTAGCATATGGAGTCAGCTTTGAGATCACGGTGAGCTTTGGTTCTAAGGGGTACAACAAGCACATCACATGTCATATCTGGGTTATAATGCTGTGTGCACCAATTAAGTCAGTCAGCAGCCATGCACCAAACACAGGCTTCCCTCAAGATGATTCTGGTCTGGATTCCACCTGGAATATCTGCCCTGTCACAGGACAAATATGTGGATGAACTAAGCATTCCACATGAACTTCAACCCCATTGGGATATCTTGCAAAACGAGGCTCCCTGAAAGGCTTCTTGCAGATACAGCAGTATCTAGGATAAATGAACCAATGGGAACAAAAAGGTAGCTGAAGTTGCTACTGACAAAGATGGTGTGTTGCTCAGACTTCACTTACCTACTGGAGTTCATGATAATACTTTCTCTTGTGAGACAAAGATGAACAAATGATTCATGTAAGTCCAACTCCTGACTCAGATTTCTCTTCACCTGGAGCATACGCTTTGAATGGAGAGCCTCACGAATAGACTTAATCAAAAATGTGTGAACACTATCCAGCCTCCAAGAGTCAGGTAGTATGGCCAACACATCAGTCACATTGAAGTCAGTTGCATGCTTAACCAAGAGGTCCAGGGCTGGACCTCGCAACTGCATCTGGCTCTCCTGGCTGGGAAGGGTAAGGGAAAGTAACCATGATGTTTGATGACTTGCACACGACAAAGAAAGCAAAAGAAAACCAATAGAGACGGGACTGACTCAAGTGAAGGATTGAGGTAAGTCTGCAGGAGAATCAAAAGAAGATGAGCTCGAGTGGTCCTCTCATCTGTATCAGCTTTATCTGAGCATGTCAGGCAGTAGTCTCTTGCGGCATCTGTGTCTCCAAGTTCATGCACCAGGATGTCAAGTGCCTTTTTATGTTCTCCCAACTATATATGTGGTGAGATGAGGTAGCTGTAAAAACCTGTCTTCATATGAAAGTCACTAAACTTATCACAGGGGCATACCTTTCCATAAAGGAGAGCCATTTCTTCAAGGAGACCAAGCTCCTTAGTTCGACCAAGCAACAACTGGGCCTTGAACTGAGATGACAATGCTATGAGCTTACGCAGCTTCATCCTCCCTGTTTCCACCTCCTTTTCTTTCCTTTCCATATTTCCTTTCTCTATCTGACTCAGATAATTCAATGCCAACTGTGTGTGATAGTCTTCCCTCTGCAAAGGAAGAGAGAATGGGTAAGGAGGACATGCAGAACAAATGAGAAGATCATCAGAACTATTGCATCAATTCAAAAGACTGATGGGGTTTTGCAATAAAACAGATCAAGTACCTCAGATTTATCTTCTAAGACAAGATGCTCCAGATACTTGAGTTGTGCTTGGGGATACTTGGACAGATATGTAATGATGATGGAAGGAGGCCATTCTTCTGGATCCCTTCCGATCAACATGGTAACTGGGAAATCAGGGTCTCGACCAAACACAAAATCTGCATATTTCCATACAATGTCTCTGTCATGACACCTGAAGTAAGCACAAGAAAGGAATTATGAGGATACTGGCTGAGAGATTAATAATAAAAGAGAAGAGACACAGTAGCACTCTTACATGATAATGTACTTCTCCAGGAAACCAATCCCTTGAAAGGAAGGATCAAACAATTGGCCATCACACAGGTCTGACCAGATGGCTAGGGCTTCTGAATGTCTATTCAAACGCTGTAGGAGATGAGCTCTTGCATGATGCCTCTTGTACAATGACAACCACTCAAGGGACTCTTCTGCATCACATTTTAATGTCTCTGCTTGGATGAAATCCACCAGTTTGTCAGGAGACAATTCAGCTAGTAGTTTAACCAGGCCTGTATCCACTTCCTGAAAAAAAGGCATAAGTGTATTTTTGATAAAGTATTATAGCTCAGAATGGAACTATGGAAAAGAGCCTTCAACTTCAAGTAAGACCTTTTGATGTGGAGAAATTCTCTGCTTCCAACATTCAGTGAGAAATTCAAGGAGGAAGTGCTTGAAATTCAAGATTTTCTCTTCATCACCCTTGGCTATCTGCTGGATGTTGACATAGCTGTGAAGTTCTGGGAGGCAGCGCTGAAACCCTGAGTCTCTGGGAAGTAGACCTTGGTACAAACTGATTACCTGGTTCATTCAAGCACAATAAACACACCAAGTAAGGAAACCAAGAACAGGCAAGGAGACAATGGGAGACTCATTGGTTCTACTGACCTCTCGAACATCTAAACCAGACATGAGAAACAATTCTTTGGCTTGAGGGAAATTCTCACGAGCAAATTCAACAAATCCCCCCTCTTGCTGGATGCATCTGAACATGAGCTGGAATTCATCTTCTGCCATCCCAGACTGACCAAGATTGGATGCCATCTCAAGGGCTTCTTCAACATGCCCATTTGCCAGCAGGCCCTGAATCAGAGTTGAATAAATGTTTAAAAAAGGCAAAAAACAATATATGTTAATTGCCACAATGTGGGAGAGAATAGCACCTGGATCTGTGTGTTGATGGGAAAAGGTCTAAGGTATGAGACAGCAGTGGGGGACCAGGCATAAAGACGACCATCCAGGTGTGCCAGGCCTCGACCCATTGCAAATGGCAACTGCTGCTTTTTTTTCTGATCTAAAAGACTACATGCAAGAATAGCAGTTAATTTACTTGTGCACACCTCCATCATACAGTTCACTTGAAATGCATGGCTGCCATTGAAATTGCACCAAGATGAGTCACCAGGCAAAAAATTTATTGCATGTTACCCATTGCAATTGTCAATGGGTCCATTTCACAAAGAATTTTAATAAATTAATCATTTCCTATTCCAACAATGAATTTGTGAAAATCTTGCAAAATTTATTTAGGACTGTCCATGTTATAATTGGTGGCTACCTTTCACATTGACTCATTTTTTGCAAATTCATTCTGAAAAATGAGTCTCCAGCAGTATTAACATGGTTTAACAACTTGTACTTCTTTTATTCTCTCCTAAGGTTCCCATCATTTGAGCTCCACTTCATCTTGGTATGCAATTTATCGCTGATATTGATGGATTTGAAGCAAACCTACTGTTTTAACCAATATATTTTTGTTTTTAATATTTTTTCCATTTAGATTGATATTCTTTTTAAGTGATACAACTGTATCATGTATCCTGTCATAAAGCTTCTGATAAGCAAGGTTTATATTTTGTGTTTCCATTATATCATCCCAATTTTAACCCCTTTGTCATTTCCCAAATTTGTCACAATTTTACAGCAGTCTATTTTTTCTGATGCCATGAGCTTGCATTTTGAAAGATCACCATTTGCATATAGGTCAGACACACAATTTTCAATTCCACCAGTCTCAAGATAGTTTTAATATAAATCATCAAAAAAAAGATCAATGGTCAATATTTTATTGTTGTACCATGAATGCATTGTTCTAGGTTATTGCTTTTCATGGTTAGCAAAATCTCTTCTACTTACAGTTAAGATGTATCTTTATGAAAGTCTATATTGAAATATCAAACAAGGAGGTGCTTCAATCAAGGACATGGTGTGAAAGAACTCCTCTAGGGATATTTCATACAAATAACTTGATTAGACTTAGAGGAAAAAGTTGTTTTCAAGGAAGATGAGGTGAAGAATGGGTAGCTCCCCTCATCTTGAAAAGTTGAAGTGTAGGGCAAATGTTGGTGTTGCCCCCCCATCCAGAATTAATTACCACATTTTTCTTCATAATATATTTTTAACAGCAGTTGGAGACCAGTAGTGCAGCCAGAGGCAACCATACCACTTACAATGACAGATGCACCTCCCTGGTCACCAGAGATGTGACAAACAACAAAATTAAAGTTAGCTTCACACAAATTAGTTATACTTCTTTTCAACATTTCTGATTTGATTGTTTTTCCAATAAGGCTTCTTCTATGTTGAAGCATTCAGAGGGGGCATGGGAAGTTGATCACATCTGAATCATCACTTTTTGATGTGGCCAAATGACACGACAAGCCATTTCATCAGTGTGCCACACATTCTCTGAGTCATACGGTTTTGAAGAACCCATATTGCAATATCAGTAAAATTTGAAACATTTAAAAGATGCACAATTAAATAGGCTATAAGGATAAGGATAAGATTAATATTAATACAATCCTGGGGTCCATCACATCTCAGTTGGCTAAATAGGAGGGGGTGCATCTGTTATTACCACCCAATACTTGAGTGGGTACATTAGGCTGAGGTGCTAGTGCAGCTCACACTACCTGGTGGTGACACTTGTTTTCAGGTGCATTCATTTTATAGTTGGTCCATCCTATGTCATGATGCAACATTTGGTAGTGCTAGTGCAACTCTGTCATGGTATTGGAATTTCAATGGGGGTCAGAGCATGATTGCCAAAATATAAATACCTGAAAACAGCAATGACATTGGAATGAAGGACAAGGAGATATGGTTCTCGATGAGCTGCAGCCAAGGGCTCTTCTGGCAACCGGATAGGAGGTGTCTCAGATACTCCAGCAACTGAGGCAAACACTCCCAAGGGTCCTGGAGCACTTACCATAAACTCATCCTGGGATAAGAAACAGATTAAAATTTTAAAGTATTGCATCATCTTTCTCATCAAACCTAAGAAACATAATTGGATTTGTTGGTCTTACCCTCCGGATCCATGTGACAAGTGGATGAAGAAAGTCTTCTTGGAATGGAAAGAGTTCCTGAGAGGCTCCTGTTTCCCAGTTGAAAATGCGATATTCATCTGTGAGAGCCAGGCAGACATAACTTCCAGCCATGGCCATACTACGAGGTGGTTGAGGGAGACTCACGTCTCCTACCTGAGATAGCATCCTCCTCTCTCCCAAGTTCCACACCTTTAGATTCTTCTTCTTCACTCCACACAACTGTAGTCATGAAACCTCAAGAATAAACCATAATTATGACCCTCAAACATTTCTCTTTTATCAAGAAGTAAACCTGACCTGGATAGTCTGTGGATCAGGTGTCTGAGGATTCTCATTGACACAGAAGAATTGAAGATTCTTCAGTCGAGACCCACCTCCCAGAATCTGGAGATCAGAAGCATCCAAGACAAAGAGCTGCCCCTCAGATAGGGCCAGGAGACAGTCAATTGGTGAGGCCACATTCAGCTGTGTCACACTCTTTCTCTACACAAGTTCCATCAGAGTACAGGATGAGTAAGAAAAACTATGAGAAACTATGCATACTGGATTTGATGAAATAGAACTCACTGTAGGAAGGGAGCACTTCCTGCGAGGGAAAGATTGAATAGACAGCTGACTTCCTTCTCGGACAGCTTCACGACACTCACAATGGATTATTGATCTTTAGTGGGTGATAAAAGCATGACAGAAATTTCATTTCTCATCCATGAAACAGTGTGCATATATTAGCAAAAAAAAAAATCCTTAAAGAAATCCCATTCTAAAAGTAATAGCAGAAGGCTAGAACATGGAATACTATCAAGAAACAAATCATGATGATATCCTTCACAGAGACATATTCTAAGGACTGTCTCAACCACTTATGTGTGACTTATCCTGTCAAAAACTCATATCTCCACATTTGTTCTTTTGAGATTGTCAGATTCTAATGGAATCAATCTTCCTTGGAAAATCCTATCATTACCCATAGCATGGTAAATTAGTAAAGAACTTACCCATCATTAAGACCCACAAAGAGGTTTTTTCCAGACAACTCCACACTTTCAATCTGCAAAGTGTGAGAGAAACAGATAATTAAATGACTCATTGCAGGTAGTCTGATGATGCATGACAATGAGATCACCTTTTCTGATGCAGATTCCCCAAGAAGGGCATACTTCTCCACCACTGTCACAAACTCAAAAGCTTTTATAGTCATGTTTGATTTTCAGAAGCCTTTGATCAACAACTGCAAATTCAAGACCAAATAAGGACAACAAAATATGGCATAGCTAGACCAGTCTAAAACTTCTCATAATAGTACATGAAAAACAGGACTTTTGGCATGTAGGTACTTGTATCCTGAAAGCCATGTGAGACAGTAAATCAGAGAAAGAATGCCATTCATACATCAGTTGATTTCTGTGCCAATTGTTCCATCTGCACAAAGCACAAAAAATGAAATTATCACTGGCATGACTTTCTGGGCTTTCACCTACTAAATTCCACCCTAGCACTTTAAGCAGCCAATAAAAAATTAGTAAACTCTTCCTCCTTTCAGTATTTTTCTGCTCTTTTTCTCATAATAAAACAGTAAGTCTACTAAATTATTGAAAATTCTAATCAAATTAATTCAGGGCAAAAATAATCATACAATGAGAATAAATATATTCATAATTGAAGCATTTTATTTAAAATTATAGTTAAAAACAATAGATCAAGTTTTGAGGTTTTCATAGGGGTGTCAAGAGGCATTTCTGTCTATAGTGATACCCCAAGGCAAGGTAAAGCACACATTCAAACCCCTCTTCATATAAAACAGGTCAACCTCTCAAAAGATTTAATTTAGTTGGTGCTTGTCAATCTGTTGTGTAGTTACAACTATACTTCCCCCTGCTCATTATTTTGTCCATAAAACTCATCTTAAAGTCAACAATGGAAATTGCAGTCACTACATCATCACCTAATACATTTCATGCAATGACTACCTGACCAGAAAGAAAGCTATTCCTCCACTTGGGTCTTCATTAACCTCACATGTACCAGAGTTGAAGATCTGGAACAACCTCATCAAGCTACATGGAAACATTCTTTTTGCATTCATCAAATGTTGTGGAGCTGCAATATGCCCCACACTCCAGTTTCTCAACATTGCTACCTTCTTTGGTTCTATACAGAATGTAGTGCCTCAACCAGAGAAACTCAAAGGAAAAAAAAATAGCCAGGACATTTAAATATTCAGAACTAGACAGTTAGAGCTCACCAAACTTGAAATAGCTAATCTCACTTTTGCCATCATGTTGAGAAAACCTATCAATCTCCAGGATCTATTGATCCTGGAGATTGATAGGTTGCCATGTACTTGTCGTTGTACTCGACACATTGCAGAATAGTACTACTGTTGTACATTGTGCCATCAGAATTGATAATATGCAGAATACTATGATGAGAACAGGCATAAAAATATGCATTTACGGTGTCATGGGAGACAAATCATTCGAGCAGTGCAGAAACTCCATTCACCTCATGCATTGAAAAGGTAAACTTTTGACTTCACTTTGAATGATTGTCAACTTTATTCAGATAACCTAGGTACATGAAACTTTCAGAAAAAAATTTTTAATGATGTTTTTAACATTATATGAAAACATCATAAACCTAGATCATCCACAGCTGGTTTTATAAAGCATCAAACAGGATGCATTTTCTTTGGGCCACCTGGTATAAGGCATTATGCACAAACTTATGACTCCAATAAGAGTATCAACATTTTACATATTTTAGGTGTGACCAACCTTTAAAAAAAATGGCATAAGACCAACTCAAGATTATGTAGAACCAACAAGCAATGAATGCCCAAGAGTTGGAAGCTATTTTCAGACAATTTTTGGACAGGGTTATGCCCAAGTGTCAGTCATATAGCTGTCACTTTTCAAGATGTCAGAGGCCATAAGGAACATATCTTGTCAATTGCATTTCCATAGAGCTGGAGAACTCAATTGCATGGTTCTGCAGCAAATTCTAGCTTCCCTTCTTGTGAATAAATTATTGAAGAGTCGAACTTGCATTTTTTTAATGCCCACCCTGTAGTATGTTCAGTATGGAAAGCAGTTGTTCAAGGCTGATGTTATTGCAAGCACTACACCCCAACAACTAATGGTTTGGCTTCAAAATATCATCCATTTGGCAAATAAATGGCACAGAATAGATATTGATAATAGTAGCAGTAACATGTTGAATGCAGCAGTTGCCTGAGCTACAAAAGATTCCCTAAAGCATTTTATATCACTATTCAGAATAGCCTACTGGTACCACTAGTATGATAATGTAGCTCACAAAAGCAGGATTATTTTTCCACTGCCAGTATATATATTCTTGTTTGAGCCCTTTTAAGAGAAATTCAGGCTCCACTGTTCTGGAATTGAACAGTACAAGAAAAATCTAGTTAGATGAGAAAATAAAAATAAATTTTTGCAATTAATACCACTGATGCATGGATCAAATGACACTGGTGATTGTCCACAGCCATTGAAATTAAATCATAGAAAAACAAATTATTGTCTTAGTATCAAATGATACAGTAATTCATGCACACAGAAAACAATCAGTAGTGCAAGTATGAACATGAAAATTCAGCATTAAAAGTGAGGGGAATTCAGGCTCTTTCCATGTTTCACATATCTGTATCATGTAAATTCAACTTCTTGGAAAAGATAAGACAGACTGTCTGCTGTCAGATCCTTGTCTTCTGCAGTATCAGGAACATCACTTCCATGTTTTTTTTCATCCTTCTTCTTTTTCAACAGAAATTCAGGCTTCTTCATCTTCACTTCATCATGTAATCTTGATTGGACAAGTCTCTCGCATATGGCATGATGGAAACGATTTATACGTAAGAAGTTTTCTTCCATTCGCCTGTTTGCCTCCTGGAGAAGGGCTTGGATGTATTCCTCAGAAGTCAAAACTTTATAGTCAGCAACCAAGGGGGCCTCCATCATGTGGGAGCTTCGGATAGCCTTCCTCACCCAGAATAGTACCAGAAACAAAAGTGACTGAAATGTTTCAATTCACTCATGGCTTTTTTGTTGCTGTAGAATATCCATTTCAATACACTAATCAAACAAAAATAAACAGCAACAGAGAAGTACCAGGTAGAACAGATCATTCCATCTTCCCTTGAATGCCTCACAAAAACTCCAAGATTTGTCATACATTACATTTTAAAAATCAAAGGAAATGCAGAGAGATTTCCACTAATAAGAAATTTCACTGCTGTGATCTGTGATCAAAACACAACATTTTAAGAAACAGGAAAGAAAAGGACCATATCTACTGAAGAAGCTCAGGGGAATGCTATCTTTCTTTATATGGGATATTATTGAGTAACAGCAAAACAATCTCTCAAGGCAATAATGAGTGCATTAGTACATTGTTCTTAACATCAAATGAAAAGTTATGGATTCAATTCCCTATCTGAAAGGCTTGTAATCCTGCCCTTGAGTTTGTACAATACCACGTTTTGAGAGTTTTAGTACAGCAGCAGCACTATGCTTTTTTTCTGCCAGATGAGATCAGCACATTTCTAATGCAATATGCTCTACCCAACCAATAACCACAATAAAGAGACTAAGAAGAATTTGCATAAGTCCATTACTGAGAAGAAACTAGTCCACATGGCAGCTGGATTAGACATCTGCAATAATGAATGTGACATCACTCTTTTCAAATTGCACTTTCTGGTCTTATTCAATTAATTGTTCAAAACTATGCTAGAAGCCCTCCAGCAGAGGAATGACTCAAACCATAACTATGGGGATGTGCTGGCCTTACCAGTGTGAGCTTCTCATATTTCCCTATCATTATTCCAGAGTTTCTTAATCCTGCCTCCAAAGCACAAGTGAACTGGAACAAAAACAAATATACATGAAAATGCAGATATTAACATTACACATTGCAACTGTAAGAGGGTGCAGAACTTCATATTCACCATGATCAAATCCTAATGTGACAGTAAAACAACTCACCAAAACCTTTGCAGAATTGAGATTGGCACAGAACACATGTAGAACTATGGGCTCAAATTTGAGGAAAACATTACAGTAACTGCATTCATTCTGCTTCAATGTTTCTACCTGCAATGTAAAAAGTTTGTAAGTATGTAACAAGGGTTACCCTTTAGTTTCACTGATATTCTACCCTGTGACAACTCCAATTTTGATTGGGAAGAATCTCAATTCTTTCCATCCAAGATCATAATTAAGTCAATTATAGGAAGCCAGGGAAGATGATTGCCATACAATCCACTTGGCATTGCTTGCAGCTGGTGATTTGCATGATTGAAAATATCACACCCTTTGAATACAACCTATTTCACCGAGGCAATCAAAAGAAATAAGGTCTCCTCAAATTGCAAGCTTCTCGAACATTAATGACATCATCATCACTCAGTCAATCACCTTCTTCTGAGAGAAACTGTCATGTTATGGCTTTTGACCTAATCAAAGGGTCTATAAATTCAAGAGATCAAAACTTTCAGAACCTTAGGCTTCTCCCTTCTTGATGCTATACACAAGTTTGAAAATAATAAATTTACCTAGATTTTTGAAGAAAAAAAAAAAAACAGATTATAGATATTCATAAAACATGGGAAAAAAAACCTACACAAAATGGCAAACTAGATAAAATGAAAATTTATTGGCAGAAGCGATGCAACAAAATGTCAATTTTTTTTCTAATTCTGAAACATGCAAACTAGATATCTTTTTCTTGGATCTTGCTTTCTCATGTTGACCATTACATGGGCTGTTAGTTCCTAGTTTATCCTGAAACAGACAAACCAATGTGATAATTAAATGCTATTATATTGGGTGTGAAATCAATATCAAACATCTGAAATCAGGAACACAGATATGGACTGCAAAGAGGAATCAATGAAATCATGGGCAAGAATCAAGCATGCACGAAAGACTGAAACAATATTAGAAAATATCCCGGTATGTCTGGGATGCATCAAAATAGCAGAAAACATATTAATGTTTAATTACCATAAGATGATCAAACATCTATTAAAGATTTTCTCTGCCCATTTCCCATTGACTGATCCCTTATCAGCAGAAAAGAGAGTGGAATGTCACAGAATCAATTAAAAGATCTACAATTAGGAATATGGTTGAAAAAGATTGAGCAAGAGGCTCATGTAGCCAAAGTAGCAGAGAAAGTAGCCCAATTAGCAATGGCATTCTATATAGAACTGTTTCTATTAAAAGGTACATCTACTTAGCAAGGTATATCTTATAAAAAAAAAATAACAACAAAAATAAAAATACTCACACCAATGTGAACCGAAACATATCATTGAAAATGAAATGGTTTCATAGATGAAAAAGGCATTTTTACAAAATTGGATGATCCCTCACAGGAATATCATGTAGCTCCACACTTGTCAGACATCTATCCAATTTCAATAATATTGGGGGATTTGAAGGCAACCCCAACAATAAATCAAGCTTGCATAGCCACTTTATTGCCATATATGCAACTAAACTAGCTGGTGGATGGTATTGGGGCATACAAACCCCCTACCTCTAAAAAAAAAAGCCTTGAGTGGTTTGCATTTGAACTCAGGAGAAAGCAGGTTTTTCCTGAAAGCAGCCAGGTGAATTGTCAACTCAGAAGAAATTCACCTAGTCATACTAGGGGCTGTCATGATGAGATGATGCATTGATACCACCATCAACAGTTAGAGGTATCAATAGTTTTTTTGTTGAGATCTTTACAATGATTTTGGCTCATTTCACCTTGTTGGTGTGCTTTCACTTCTTTGGAGTGCACATGTTGCTAACCAATCAACACATAGGGATTTCTATGGTGAGTGACATTTTTTGGCTCTAATAATGTAGAATTTGCATGCAAATAACTGTGATTTACTCAAAACACTACAAAATCACTGTCCACCATGCCCAGCAGGTACCTGATTTTATCTCAAAGCTTCCCTTATTCCCCATAGAATGAAGTAAGGGGAGGCTTGGCAATATTAAAAATACTTTAAAGTTCTTTCTGTGAAAGAATTCATTCTGGGTTATAAAAAGCACATATTTGCATATTGTCCCACTTTCATGCATATTTTATTATTTCAAGTACATATTTACACTGTTTCTGGATTGAATTCATACCACCCCCTATAGAGGAGAATGGAGAAAACACTAATTTCCAGAGGTTTCACTTCAGCAGGTGATAGCTGTAACCACCCATGTGTAAGATGTCACTATGAGCAATCGATGGAAGTGCTTCTACAGGGCAGTACAAATCCAATCTGAAAACAGTGTATATAAATAATTAGGTTGATCAAGCCCAGTCTATGGTAGGTGTTCACATAACATCAAAGTGTACATGGTATTCACAAGATATACAATAGCTGAAATAACTGTATTACGGGCAGCTCATCATCGGCTGTATCAAGGGCTGACAGCTGATATTGAAGATAATTACTTAACAGAGACTCACCAAATGTTTCGCAGTTTCCTTAACAGGAACTTTATCATGAGATGCAAACAACCACTGGCAATCGAACTTTTTCCTCCGACTTCCCTCTTTGGACGGGACTTCATAGCATATGATACGCCCTGAACAGGAGCTCGTTGTTTGATATGGGTATCCCTCCAAGGTGTTGATTAGTTCGACTAAATCTCGAATGCGATCGTCGATACTGCCCTTCCTACTTTTATCTTTGCCCAGTCCTGGTTGTAATACCACGCCTGACGAGAGGTTTATTTCATCAACTGCACTCATTCTTCCCACTGCAACCCAAGACACCAACAAGCCACTTCGGCAAGGCAGAGAAAAACTGTTGTAGCACATGCTATGCCAGGCTGAGGTTAGGACTTCGCCAGTCACGTGGACGGTGCATACTGCCAGTCGCCATGATTAATATTTTCAGGATGTCGAACCTTTTCTTTTCCTTCTCCGCATGTCGAGTCTTCTTGGAATATGACATTGATTCTACTTGTGAGGTTTTCGGTGCCCTCGGGTGGGATTGTGCTTGTCATGTAAGATATGCGCACAGACGCACTTTAGTCCTTTTTATAACTGGTCGAGTACAGCTGGAATTCTGTTTGCCCACGAGACATCCATGAGTGGCAGTGGGCACAGGGAGGCAGCAGCTCCAGTAATAGAGTGAGCAAGGGCAGAGAAAGTGTTTTCTTTTGGAGGAGGAGCAGAGTGGGGCTTCATAGAGGGAAGAATAGGCCCAGTTCATATGATACAGGATGATGCTATAATCCGAGAATCCCTAGGAAATCTCTTGACCCCAAAGTATGAGGGGTCAAGGGTGTAGTTTAAAGTGTCAGGAGTGTGTGAATGATAAACAGACTGGGTCTATATAAAAACTTTTTACCTTGAAATTGCTACTTATACTATTTTCTCAAAACTTCCACCTTGCGTAGATGCTTATGCTTGCATGAGACTTGTGAAATTTCAGTAAAATTCATTTTGTCAAAGCTAGATTATAATTGATTATTCCAAAAAAATTGGATATTGAAAATGAACTAGTGTTCCTATTTAGACTTAGAGGAAGAGCCTTTGTGCTTTAGTAGCATGTAAGGAATATTGTAATCCAGGGGCTGGAGTCCCCCATCCATTTTTAAATTCCAATTTTCTTCAAAGTATTGTTCTTAGCTTTACTATAGCAAAATGACTGCATAATAATTGAAAAGGGCATTGAGATCATATCAGTCTGCAGAGTACAAGTTTCACAGGAATGACTAATAGTCAAGAGTTTCAAAGGTCTCAGTTTCAGGGATCTGTTTAGCCATACATCTTTACATCTTGACCAGTGGGTTCATCCACTTATTTGTGCTAGAGTTTTGGATAATGTCTGGCTCAAAGCAGATGTGGATGAGAGTGTAGTAGTGATATAGAGAATTAAAAGTTTGATGATGCGATTTTAAGTGGAGTAGGGACAGGTGAGTGGCTCTGTTGTTCAATAGTTTTTTCTCCTGTGGCAGGGTTCTTGGGTTCAGAACCAAGAAAGTCAGATATTTATTTCCAGGTGCAAGTCCTAGCATGCTTGGGAAGGGAGAACCCTTCTTAAAAATGAACAAGAAATAACATTGCATGTAGGGGCATTTGTTGTTGCAATTGTATGGGCCATATTATGAAGTATGTATTGGGTAATGTATTTTCATCTATGCATAATTGTGTATGACTTGTGTCTTTGTTTTGTGAAGCCTAGATGAATTAGTTGTGTTACTCAGTGTTGGTTTTCATTATTGAGAATGGACTCATATGGAACACAAGAAAATTCAGTCATCATGGAGGGTTTCATTTGCCCTATGTGCATGAAAGATCAAGGCTCATTGATTGGTCTACAGACTCACACAGATCAATATCACAATGAGGATCGTGACTTCAAGTCCTTATTTCAAGGTCTGCCTGGTTTGGCTCTGTAACATCAATCTAGTCTTTGGAGAGAATATGTTTTCAGGCCCTGAAATCCCATCTAAGATACTAATAAAGGTTCTTGTTCCAGATTTTCTCGGAAAGGCCAGGAAACGAATTCGGCAAGAGATACCCATGCGGCAAGATTCACCAGAGGTGTTGAATCGATCTAGCAATCTATCATCTCCTCCACCACTTGCTGCTTCTATGGAATATGATGCAGCTATTCTTCAGGCCCAGGGCATTGGTATGTAGCCCTGATGTAGTGTAATGCCTGAAGGCCTAACACTTGATGTGTATACTACATTCTCGATGTCAAGAATTGTCTATTTCTTTTCAATGTCTTTCAGGTACAACCCGTAGTCACATGAAAACTTTCCAGGAACATCGAACTTCACGATTGGATTGGTATGCTGCTGAGACGAACAAACTTCTGATACGTCTTGACAAGTTGTTGCATCTTGTGTCGTCAGAACCATCAAAAAGAAAAGGCAAAGGAAAATAATGGCTATGAGCTCAACCTAATTTAATGTCTAGTAATAAAAAAAAAAGTCTCTTGTGCTTGCAGCCCATGAACAAGATGTTGTTGCTTGGGTGGAGGATTCTGCAGTGAAGCTATGCCCTGAATGTGCCAGGTCCTTTGGAATAAGGAGAAGGAAGCACCATTGTCGCCTGTGTGGCTCTATATTATGTCATGAATGTTCTGTCTTCCTCTCCTTCACTCGTGCTCATGAGTTTAGTAAGTTGCTTTCTGTGTGTGTTTTTTCAACTACAAATGATTGTCAGTCAAAAGGAGGACTTTTAATAGGTCGATTGGCTCTGCCAGGTGGAAGTTTCTCAGCTACTCCATCTGATCCTCGTCATCCTCCTCCCCCCTCTTTTCAATCACCAGCCAAAGCTCTGCTTGCCCTTGGCAAGAGCAAGTTGACACGGAGCAATTCAAATTCCAGCCTCAATTCCCTCCTATCTCTTGTTGACAGTTCAACAGGAGAAGAGCAGTTCCGCATCTGCCCATTTTGTTACAGGGTTAGTACATCAGAGCATGGTAGGTTAAAGTGACCTAATTTTTTTTATGAAAAATTTTAATGCAGAATTTTTACAGTTGTTGATACGACGGCAGGAGCAAGTCGTAAGGCAGACAGCTAAACCACCCCTCGTAGAAGAGTACGAGAAACTCCAAGAAATCCGAGAAGAAGTCCAGAAGTTGCTTCCCAGTTACCAGGTAATGGCAGAGGCCTTGTGGCAAGGTGATTTTGATAATGATCTCTCTGAAGCTAATCATCTCAGGGTGAAGCTTCTGAAGCAAGCTGAGAGATTGGAAATGTTGAGGTAAGAAGTAACAGAATCTTTATCCTCTTGCACATAATTGGATGGTATCAATCTGAGACTTGGAATTGGTTTCTTGCAGCAAAGCAATACTATTACTGAGAGAGGATCATGATGCTGGCCATGAGACTGATAGCAGAACATCAAAATTGCAAAAACAAATTCGATTAGGCACAATGCAGTTCCTGAAGGAAAATCTAGTGGGTTTGCCTTCCCTTCCGAATCCTGAACAGCTGGAGCAGCTGAGGAAAAGGAAAAGGTATGATTTTCTCTCTAAAAAGTATAAGTGCCAGATTGTAGCATAATTTTTTTAAAGAAACTGACTGAAAAGTGAGGCAAAATCAGGATAAAGGGATTTTTTGACCAAAGATTAAAAAGACCCTGCCATCAACCCAATAATTAATGCATGTGACCTTTAGAGGTCCAAGGTCAATAAGTTGTATTCCATCAGCAAAATCAATTTCTGCATTGATGTATAACAATCAGAAATGAAAAAAGGTTTAATCACAAATACTATGAAGTATTATAATCCTGGAATTATATGTGCTTTGGTTGATTACCTTTACTTCAGGCAAAGGGGGTTAAATCTAGCATGTGTTCAAAAAGTCACATCGAAGAGAAATTGTTGTTAAAATAATTTTATATTCAAATTGGACACCTTTCATGGCTCAACAATGACAGTCTATCACATGTCAGAGCATAGACATTTAAAAATATTCATGGAGGGATTTCATGTTGGACTGTGGAAATATTTGCTCCTGAGTCTTCAGCCAGGCCTGAAATATTTTACTCATAAAAAGTCTCAATATTTAAAAATAAGTCCAATGGGAACAAGTCAGGGAGCCATTTCAGTATATTGTACTGCTAAAACTGGATGCAAGAAAATTGACTGTTAATCGATGATGCAAGACATCCTGAACTCCTTGTGCATGAGACACCTTGTATGAGAATCAGAACAGTCCAATCAGATGAACATACTTGCACAGACAGATGGATCAAATATAAGGATGTCTCCCTGGGTTCCATCCAAAACACAGTACAGTCGACTCCCGTTATAACGAACACGGATATAGCGAAAACCTGGTTATAACGAAATCCTAGCCTTTGCCTGGTCGAATGCCCATAGACGCCCATATGAAAAAATTCGGATATAACGAAATCGGTTACTGTATAGCGAAATTTCGGCTATAACGAAAGACTTCTCGTGTCCCCATTAAGAAGGGGCATCAGATATAACGAACTTTTCCTTCGAAGTGAGTGAGGGATTATTTTTTTTAATGCTTTCTTTCTCTCTTTTTTTTCGCCTGGGAACGAAGGGTTCAAGTTCTTATCTTAATCCTTCACCCGTATCTGTCCCTCAACTATTAGTTATCACCCCCATCCATCCCACAGGGATTAGCCTATCGCGTTAAAAAGTCACCTCCCACAGCATCCCTGGTCTCCTAAAGTATAAATTGTGTCGAAGACTTTATGGGTCATTCTGTATTCCGAGTTTTGTTCGCTCGTTCGTCTGAGTTCACGGATTTGTGGTCAAAGTTCACGTGTTCACTCATCAGCGGCAGTGAAATGGCACATGTGGCCAAGAAGAGGAAGTGCATGTCTATTGAACTGAAAATAGACATTCTGAGAGAAGTCGAGGAAGGGAAACTGAAGAAGGGCGAGATTTCCGCGAAGTATGACATCCCACCATCGACGCTTTCTTCCATCGTCAGCGCTAAAGAAAAGATTCGCAAGGAATTCTTCAATGCCAGCTTTGCTCCAGGAAGAAAGAAGTTGAGAGGTGCAAAATACGGTGACATTGAAGAAGCTTTATTTGAGTGGTTCCAGCAAGCACGTGCCTGCAACATCGCCCTTGATGGGAACACCATTCGGCAGAAAGCCGCAGAACTGGCGAAGGTATTGGGGATCGAGAACTTTGAGTGCTCTTCTGGTTGGCTCTCTCGCTTCAAGGACAGACATGGAATCGTGTTCAAGAAAGTTTGTGGGGAAGCCGGAAGCGTGCCTGATGAAATCGTCAACAAATGGAAGAATGAGACTCTTAGAAGCATAATAGGCAGCCATCGCCCAGAGGATATTTTCAATGCCGATGAGACAAGTCTATTCTTCAATCTCACACCTGAAAAAACTATGCAGGTAACCCATGCAATGGAAAACGACTAATCATACAGATTAATTCCCTTGTAATCCCCTTTACCTGTGCCTTGAATGGTTTGAAGGTGACATTAGACCTGACCCTCTGCCACTCCTGTACTCCTTGCTTATTAGCTGAAGGGAGAGAAGTGCATCGGCGGTAAGAGGAGCAAAGAGCGCCTTACTGTGTTGCTGTGCACCAACATGTCAGGAACAGAAAAACTGCAACCAACTATCATCGGCAAGTTCGAGAAGCCTCGTTGCTTCCGAGGTGTACGACATCTGCCCGCAAATTACCGCCACAGTAAGAAGGCATGGATGACAACTCCCCTTTTCATTGAATTCCTCCGATGCCTTGATGCAAAAATGGGATGCAAAGGGAGGAAAATTCTCCTCTTCATCGACCATTGCCCTGCCCATCCACCGGGCATCATAAAGCTAAGAAACGTGGAAGTGGTGTACTTTCCTGCCAATTCAACGAGCCAACTACAACCCCTAGACCAAGGGGTGATTGCGGCATTGAAGCGGAAGTATCGGAAACGACTCATTCGTTCTCTTCTGTGGCACTTACGTACAAAGGGGATGGACCATGTCAAAGAGCACGGATTGCCGAAATGGAACGTGCTTGATGCCATGCACCATCTCGTCGCAGCATGGAATGACGTCAGTCAGGAACTCTTTTTTTCCTTCAAATTCTAGTGCGCAGCTTCTCACGTTTACCTTTCTACAGGTAAGTCCTGATGCCGTAGCAAACTGCTTTCGAAAAGCTGGCTTCTGCCATGGCGAATCTACACAGGAGGAAACTGATATTGCTCCTCCAATGGAGAGCGACGACGCCTGGGAGGAAATCGCCTCTCAGTTGCAAGTGGGCTGTGAATTCACACAGTTCGTGAATATTGACGAGGACGTTCCCACGTGCGAGCCGCTTCCCAATCCTGCTATGTGTGCAGAAGCTCACGGAGTTATGGAGTTAAAAGATGCTGCCAATGAGGAGGATATGGAAGAACAACCAGCCATACCCAAGTCACGGAATGTTATGGAAGCAGTGGAAACGATCAAGCTGCACCTTTATCATGCATGCCACGGAAATGAAAAAATGCTTAGAAAAATCTCGGACATAGAGAAATTCTTTCTGAAGCGGGCGACTTCAAGTCGGCAAACATGTATCCGAGATTACCTGCAGTCATGAGTGCCGTGTTCTGAAAGCCCAAATTTTTTCCCCCATGTTTTTATATGCTCTTAGTGACCAAGTGATTGTTGCTACTCTGGACACCCACGAAGGTTCTTGTGTTCTCTGCATGAAAGGGATAATAAAATATGTAAATGAGGCCATAAAACAGATACCCATGTTTTTATATGCTCTTAGTGACCAAGTGATTGTTGCTACTCTGGACATCCACGAAGGTTCTTGTGTTCTCTGCATGAAAGGGATAATAAAATATGCAAATGAGGCCATAAAACAGATAAAAAGTCCTTTAAATGGAGCTGTATGACCTCCTGTCCTGATATAACGAAAACTCGTTATAACGAAATAATTCCCGTGGCTTTATCGACTTCGTTATAACGGGAGTCGACTGTATTTCTTTCCCCCTAGCACAAAGTCATGCAGCCATGAATCCAAACTTTTCATTCAGGCCATCAACACACTTTATCATACATTTCCCTTGTGTGTTCTGAATTCACACTCATAGTATCAGATGGTTAACTACATACGAATGAATGCATAACTTCATCTGAAACATCTTACTTGTATCCAATGCAGCAAGCATAATTTTAATCACATTTTTATCTGTATCATGAGAAGGTTTATGGAGTGAGAGATGAATGACTGTCTGCAAATGACTCTTTCCAGTGGTTTTTTCCCTCCCCAATCTTTAAAGACAGGGAACATAAACCCATTTATATTTTGCCAAACTTAAGATTTTATAACTTCAGGGAAAGATGAATATGGGATATGGCGATCCTCTTAGATCCCTCATGTCCTGACCTGAATGCCTTTATTTTGTATCATGGATGTATTCCTGGTGTGGCATTGAGACATGTTGCATCTTGAGCATGCAGTTTACCTGAGACAAGTTTGTGAACTACTTGATGTCTTATAGCCTGGTCTTGCCACTTGGCACATCTGCAGGAAGTAAATTATATGGTGGTGCATTTGCAAAGCTTTAACTTATGACAAACTCAACAAACATCTCCAAGGTCAAACTGTTAATCCCACCTTGAGGATTTGCAATGAAATCACAGCTCCCTGAAGTCCTCATCCATGAAGTTAAGCCCTCTTGTCTTCTTTAGCACCCATGAGGTAGCAGTGCTCATATTGTGGGGCATGACAAGGTCTGGACTGAAGTTTTTTTTTATTTTAAATTTATTTTTATGAGCACTTTTAAGAAATTATATTTTAAATGCATTTAACTGTTTTGACTAGAATTTTTACCCACATTAATTTTCAGTTGAGTCACAATACATATAAGGAGAGTAGTGGGATGCAGAGAGAGAGGGGGGGGAGGGTCTTCCTTAGCTAATTTCTCCTGGAATATATGACCCAAGATTTTCCTGGCTCTTTTACTTGGAGTGCAAGACTCAATCATAGTTCTCCCCTATTGCAGGCTGGGAAGTCCTTATGCTCAGTTTCCCTCATTGATTAATCATAACTTACTCTTGGTGTTTGCTGGCCCAAGTACTTCCCTACATCCTAGCTTTTAAGCTTTTTTTAGGCCTCCATCCCAGTTTTGGATTGTATCTCTTTGATTTGTATTGTAGTGCTGGAGCACCAGTTTTCTATGAAGAAATATGTGAAAAGACAAGTGCAAGACTCAAAAGAGTTAGGTACCCCAGAAAGAGTAAAATGTCCCCAGGCAGATATAATCAGGATCTCAGTCTTTTCCAGTAAAATTCCTGCTGAAAATTTAGTATTGAAGAGGATTATTACTCTCCCACCAGAGTTATTCAAATTTTCTCCTTTACCACATCTTACCAGTGCAAAACAGTTTTCTGCGGGAGTTGGATTGAAGATGAAGTATCAATGCTATCAAGATGATAAAACTGGGCTTTGCACTCTCATTTCTTTTCATTAATTTAATACATTTCCCAATTCAACATGCCCCAATTTGATCGTTTGTGCACCTAGAAGCAGCCTTGTCACCCTCATTAAATCTGGTGACTAATCACCCAACTGCTAGTGGCATCCGAACTACTGTGATCCATTTTATTCTTTTATTTATCGTGTAATGAAAATATTTGATTACAAATATTTTCCCCCAAGCAACTGCTTTAATGAAGTCTTCTTTCATGAAAATATTTGATGAAAGAAGACTTCATTAAAGCAGTTGCTTGGGGGGTATCTAAAAAGCTTGAGAGCTGCCATTCTTTGATCCATCAATTGGATCTAAAAACCCTTCTTCCCATTGTGGTTTCTTAAAGAATTAAGGAAATATACAGGGTGCCTCAATAGCTGTGACATGATTTAAAAAGCATTACCAGAAAACAAAGCAAAGGATAATCAAGTTAATGTGCTAATGAAAAACCTGAGAATCAGGAGATTTGCACATAAACACATTACAAATGAATAGTAATGCCTTCCAAATAACCTCCATTTTTCAGTTGAGGCAGCAGTTGTATGCATGACAGTACCATAACCTTTCCATTAGGAACCTATGATCTTGACAGGATGGTACATGCTATCAAGCCCAGGACACTATGACACTGTTGTGTACCATTTTCCCCCAGTTCACTCTTGTTTTTGTCACATCACCTGGCATTCAAGAACCCTAGACTCATTGGCTCAAGATTATTTCCTCTTGGCATACTTGAATGTGTGTGTTTACACAAATGAACCAAAGCAAATTGTTGCATTTGAAGATACTTTTAGGAATGCTGTTGAGGCTGTCCTCACCACAGAGAAAGTCCTCACCACAGGGATGAAGGCAGCCATGATCAGCATGTGAATGCTGCTTGCGAGATAGAAAACATTAGCAAGGCATTATTTTTCAAGTGTAATGCACATACAGATATCCCTTGACAACTGTGTAATGTAACTCCTGATGCTCAGGAGTGCTGCAAACTTTATTCCACTTAGCTTTTTCAGGTATTGCACCATTGAAATCCCAACACAACTTTTTGGGCACCCTGTCTATGGCATCCATAAAACCTTTGAAGCACTTTAAATGTTCATAACTTCCAAACATACTATGATAGATGTGTGGTAAAGCATATGATGATGTGCATGCCTTCAAGTTTCTTATGCAGCATCTTAATTTTCAGTACTGAAGACAGCTAGTGCTAGTCATGGTGTATACCTCTCTAAACAGATTTAATAATAATTTAGGCTGGCCATATACCTTGGGTCCATTGACCTCATGATCCCTGATACTCTTGAAGTTGGTTATGGGGTTTCACTAGATCCTGTGTGTCCAAAAAACATTCTGGAGATTATGTACATATACCATGCCATTCAGGCAATTGAAGATTTGATACAAAAAGTGTACCAGGAATAGAAGTGCTGACTACTCCATTGTATCAACCATGATGGTGGCCACATTGAAGTTTGGTAGGTACAAGGCAATAAATAATGCTGCCAGCATCCATTGGCAGCTTGAAGAAGTCTCTGGAGGGTCTGCCCTTCCAAGAAGGCATAATTCACAGGCTGGTGCAGCAATTTTGAGAGGAACAGGTGTTTGTTACTCTGCTACTCTGGGATAGGAGCTGTGATGTAATGATTACAATGACCACTACATTTGAAAAGCACTTCATACATCATACATCACAAATTCGAAGGTGTGCAAAATCGTTGCAAAAATTAAAAGGGAATCAGGTCTGGATAACAAAGGGCTCATATTACTGAAAGAAGCTCTCTTATTCTCAAAAATGCCAAGATGAGGTAACTTTCTTAGATTTGCTCCACCATAATCTGACTGAAGAAAGCTTTGATTCTCAAAACCTGGCTTCAAACAGAATGACAACAAAACTCCTGGATATAGCAAAAGAGAAGAGGAAGAGCATGTGTAAAACTTGGCATCACCCAGGAGGAATGAAAGACACCTCTATAACAACATACTTTGCAAAATCATACCACGGTTTTCTGCATGGCATCTGCCTCCTCTTTTTTTGGAAAGGGAACAAGTTAGTTAAACCCTGTACAGTAACTACCGTTCCAGGTCCAATGGACCCTGATGAAGAAATTTAGCCATTTGGGTTGGTTGCACCATAAACTTGTAAGGTCCAATACTTTGTATGTTCATGAAGGCATGTAATAGTAATTAGACAAAGTATTTTGAAGAGATTCTTTTGGAATGACGAGATGAAGGAGACTTAAACATATGACCATCCAGGTTCTGGTAGTTACAAGGTTATATCAGATTCAACAAACTGTAGGTGTCAACTTTGCAAAAGAAACACAAAATATTAGCATCATAATTTAGGACGTCCTAACAGCTCCTACTACTCTTGAAATTGGCCAGTGCATAGCCAACAGCTCAACAAAGACTGAGGCTTTTCCAAAGCCAGAAACCTATGAGGATGGTATTTGGAAACCTGGGAATATTTTATTGACACATTATCCCATGCAAATCAGCATAGCACTTTACAATTCAGTTATACTGTATAGGATAAAAAAAAAAAAAAAGGTTTGCTACCGATGGAATTGGTGAACTGGTAAAGCTATATGATGTGATAGTTGAAACATGAAGCCCAAAAATGGAAGGATAGAACAATGAGCCAGATATAGCAATAAAATAAACCTCTCTTTCAATAGTAAAAACCAGAGGGATGAAGGTGTAAACATGTCAGTCCAGTCAGGGGGAGATTTGGTGTTCACAAAATGTTACTACCTGCTGTCACTCAAAGATTTTCAATGTCCTTAAGTGTTAACAGAACAGGATGAAACCTACACAATCTATCTAGGAGTGTGTTCAACACATAAAAGAGCTTGAACACTTTCATGTTCCCTTGTAGATGAGAATTCTTGGATGCCTTTCAGTAAATAAGGATAAACTAGAGAGACAGAAAAAGTGATACCTCAGTTGCTTATACTCAAGTAGCTTATACTCAAGTTACCAGATGCAAGAGCCTCTAACCCCATGTCCCCACCCTCATCTAAATGTTAGCTAACAGAAGTAACCTCAGGAGACTCAATATGCCCATGGAGTGACTCCTGGGATACACTACACAGATTCAACCTTCACCACCAGGAACCTTTAATATCTTGCATCCTGGGACAGGAATGGCAAGTGCTCAGGGTTCTCCCTTTCTAAGCAAACTGGGGCTTGCACTTTGAAATAAACACTGAACTTGGGTGGGTTCAAACTAGGATCCCCTGCTATGGGAGCTAAGCTCATTACCAACTTACTCACTAACTTACTCAACACCTGATGCAATTATGAAGAGCTATTCTTGCATTAGTGGTAACCCTAGTCTTAAAATACTTTTCAAACATCTTCAACATAGAATTTCATTTTATTTGTGCATGGAATTCAAACTGCATAATGCTCATACCAACTTGGGAACAACAGATACATTTTGTGGAATAACTTCCAACCTCCCAGTGGGAATTGCCAGACAGTAGGCTCAAAAATGTGTTACAGATAAGAGAAAGTCACTGACTGTGGAATTTGCAGAAGCACAGGCACCAGGGACATGTGACTATAGACTCTCACAATAAGGAAGGTGGATGAGACAAGAAAAATTTGGAGGATGATGAGATGAACTTCATTTAATGGGGACATCCATTCCATCTTCTTCATGCTCAGAATCTCCATCTCCAAAGGAGAAGCTGAGGAGACGTTGAACCCTGTCCTTCCTCCGTGTTTTCCATTCCTCCTTTTCCCGTTCTCGGGCTTTCTTCCTTGGACTCATATGGACACTTTGTGTCTCCACCTCTGCCTGACCTTCCTCAGATTCATCTTCTTCATTCTTGTTTCGACGTTTCCTCGACTTCAGATGACTGCGAGTCTCTTTCTCCTTACTTTCATCTGCATTAAGTACAACACACCCTTTGGGCTATGGAGAAATGACAAAATATTGAGATTTTGAAATGTCCTGACAACAAATTTCCTGAACTGATTATTGCCTGAGGAGGTGGCACCAGTATACAGCATTTAATGATGTCAAAAACAAGCATGCAAGGTACTTTTAAAGCTTCTTCAACTACAGCTGTCTTACATGTATGAAAACCAAGCTCAGGAATAACATGTTCCTCCCATACCGGTCTCCCTGGAGGAAGATTTCTTTCCTCTTTTCCGGTTCTTTGATGGCTGAGAACAGAAGGAAAGGATCTGAGTCGTTATATAATCCTCTCCCTCTTCCATACTCATAGCACGACTCTTCAAAAATCCTGGGTCATGGAACAGCCTCTCAAATCCTGCCATATCCAGCCTTGGTGCATCATCATGCACTCTGGAAATAAAGAAAAGTGAAACACATGATTTTTACTTTCCTTGAATTCTTTTCAGAGAGAAGAATGAGACATTGTAAACCTGCGTAGGATGATCACAGCTCTTTGGGATACAACATCCTGTGGGCGGATGCAGTGTGTAATGTTGTCTGCTGCAAATCCCCTGAAAAAATGCAAAGAATCCTTCTTTAGAATAAGCATCCAATCTAGTTGACACTGGGTGTGTCTTCTATAGGTTTTCTAGGTCAAATGTGATAAAAAGAAAGTCAAATGCATCGCTATGCCGTTTGGGAGTGTCAAAAGTGACATAAGGAAAGTCAAGTGTGATAGATACACAAGGTATACCATATATGTGTTAAGAGAAATGCCTTCTTGTTGCATTTTCACAACATGTAGCTTCAGGTGCATAAAAATATGATCCTCCTTTTGCAATTAATCATATTTGGCAAATGTCAATGCCAGGGTTAGTCCCAGGTATATGTTACCATCATGCTGCTTCATTGCAGTGAAGGTAGCTAGGAAACTGCCATAAATAAATTTTCATATCATTCATTAAACAAATTTTTATTGAGATTTTGCTGGGGTCAATTTGACCCCATGATACCAGTTACACAATGAAAAAATAAATAGGGATACCGGTTGCAGATTAAGAAGAGCCCCAAATATTCATCTCAGTTTTTTCCTATATGAAATCTGGCCTCCTGCCCCAAATGGTTGGTGGTAGCATATTCCTATGGCTAATCCTGGCATATCGATAATTTCCAAATATGATAAATTGCAGAAGTAGCAACAAATGTAAATGCACCTAAAGCCACATGCTGGGAAAATGCAATGAGAAGGCATTCCCCTTAACACAGGTACAGTATACCTTGTGTATCAGTCGCATTTGACTTTCCTTATGTTGCTTTTGACGCTCCCTAGCAGCACAGTGATGCATTTGAATTTCCTTGTCGCATTTGACCTTCTTATTACCACATTTGACCTAGAAAAACCTATAGATTGGATGGGTATGTGTAGATTTAGTAGTGAACCTCCTTCACTGCAGAGGGACTTTGTTTCATTGTCTCATTGAAAAAACACAATTGCATCATGAATCCTGACTATCACGAATTGACCATTCCTGGATCATATGGTATTAGTTACAAAATGAATGTGTTGAAGTGATGGAGGGTAGAGGTCAGTGAAAGGTTGAAGGAAGAAGATCTAGTGCTCAATCTCCCCATGCTAAACACACATTTAAATTTTCACAAAGTTCTACTTTTTGGGAACCAACTCCAGGAAGAAAATCCCAGTCTACACAGTACTTTTGCCTGTAAGCATGTCAATGATAGAAACAGGAATGGATTGAACCAAACCCATCATTCATATTTAAGGCTTTCAAATGCTGGGTCATCTAATGATAAAAGAAAACTGAGGTATGACAAAAGCAGCTCTCTTTGATAAACAACTGAAACTCTCTACTTGATTCTGGAGGGAAAAGAATTCCTGCATGTGGAAGTCTCTGGGAAAAATTGAAAAGATCTGATATTTTAAAAAGCCATCCAGCCCAAGTATCTGTCACTTACACTGCTCTCAGCTTTGGGCTGAATGATGCAAGATCTTTATTTTTTTAGTTTTAATCATGAGAATGAAAGAGGAACACTAAAAAAAAAACCCCACTTACTCCATGGAAGTGACTGTGCCTCGTTTGACTGGGAACCAAAGCACTGGTTTAGAGATGCGCATTGGTTTAAAGGAGAACCGACATCCAAAACACATGGCTGAATCACTGAGAAAAGACACTGTGATGATAGGTCTGAAAGCACAAAAAGAGAGTCTTTTCCTTATGATCGAATGCTCTTCTAAATGTAAAAATAGAAAGTGTCACAGATGAATACCTGTCAAAAATATGCATTGGGTCAATGTGAGAGACAATGCAACCACCAGCCTCATAGTAATTTAATGCAACAGAGTTGATCCAACCCTTGGGAACAATGTTGGCCTTCTCCAATGGTTTCACCACCAGGTCAAAGATCCAGGCTGGGATGGAGTCAACTTGACCAGGAGGGAACAACCGCTCCATCCCTTGTCCCTTTCTCTCCAGCTGGTTCCCATATGTGTAGCCTTCACCAAAGAAGTACTTGTTGCGAAGGTGGGCTCGGTCCAGGGTGCATGGCTTCAAGGCTCCTGAATTTCCCTTTTCAACTATGCCTTCAATCTGATTTTCAATTATTTGACATTCCTTGGGCCCAAACAATTTATACTGCTTCAGTCCTGCCTTCACTTTCTGCTTCACCTCTCCCACATCTTGGTCATAGTCCTCATTCTCCTGATCTCTTCTACACATCCAGATATATAAAGAAACCAGCAATTCTTTCACTTCCGTATCTTCATGAGCAGATAGAGTATTCAGTGGGTTCATGAATAAGTCTATCTTAGCTCAAAGTCAACTCCTGTTTGAGGTTAAGTTGACCTAAGTCAAACTGAATTTAAATACAAGGAATAGATGTATTGAGGGTCACGGTTGAGAAACCTACTGTATTTTCTCGTGCATAAGGCGCATTTTTTCGACATATTTTATTGCGTTCGATGAATGGGTGCGTCTTATACTAGAGGAAAAAAATTATCCTTTTCAATAATTTTTTTTTATCAGCGTACCTATAACTCATTGGTTGCTTATTGAGGCGGAAACAGTGTCTGCAGTCAGAACAGGGGAAATATAATATTATTATAATAAAACAGTAAACAGGGAGTGGCTACGTCGATTCGTGGACTTCATTCGGTATCGAAATCGGAATCTGAGGCGTCTGGCAGCGATGAAAATTCATTCGCGGAGCTTTCATCCACCTTCGAGGGGCCGTTCCAGAGACAATCATTTCTCATGAAAAATTTTGAGCCGCTGAGGTTTTCCGACGAAGAGAAAATTCAACTCGCTTCATGAATCGCCTCCTCATGATGCATTGAATTTTCGATGGGAGATCCCGTTTGCTCTTGCAATCGTAAGGGTTCGCGTCTAGATCACTCTAATTTTACACTACATACTTCCGAGGCCAAAAACCGGCAAACAGCGCCAGAACGAAGCGAAATGTTTACGTGGTATGCCTCATCGAGGATTTCACTACAGAAGTACGGACTCACTCTTTCACGTATTCGGCCACTTCCTTCTTGATTACCGGAAATGATCCCCTTTTTCCCCACGAAAGGCCATGAGATTCTTTAGAGCCTGGCTAAACTTCGCCTTCACCTACATCCGCTTCCGTATACAGCTTTCCTCAATGTCATACTTACGACCTATTGTACAGATGCCCAACTCCTTCGTTTCCTGAGTCACATTGATTTCTCTGCAGCTGTGTAACTTCGCCGTACATTTTCATCCATTTTCACGGATAATAAAACGAACGTTTGGGATACTGAGGGATGACTGACTCCCCTCGATAAAGGTCAGGACAGTGAATAAGAAACGAGATTCGACCGGCTTTACCCCTTATTCATCTCCCTTGTCCGACACTTTTCGCTACGAAATAGGGGGTGCGCCTTATACACGGGGAATCTTTATTATTTATTATTATTATTATTTTTTTAATACACAAATTGGGACCTCAAAAACGGGGGTGCGTCTTATACACGGTGGCGCACTATACGCGAGTAAATACGGATAATCCCAGTTTCAAACTCCTCAGCATCGGTCTCACAAAACTGACCTTCCATTATCCTAACTCACTGGTTCCAGCTGTAGATGATCAGCTGGAATTCCTAAATCTGCATCTCATTAAATCCCAAACTTTCATCTCACTAAATAATAATAATAATATTTATTCCATTTAATTCACATGCAATTCACTACCCAAATTCAGAGGGTACTAAGAAAACTGACGATCAACCAGCTCTCAGTTATCTTCCTGTTCATAAAAATGAGCATGTCCATAAAACTTCCCCGGAATTGAGTAATGCAAGAACCCTTTTATGAAAACTTTAAAATTAAGTCTATTAATATTAACATTAACATCAAATGAACATAGGGTTGTCATATAAATGCTGAAAAAATATTCATTAAAATTAAATTAATGCTGCGGCATTCTGGTATCCCTTCTTGCACCTTCTACAGATAACATGATGAGGACAGGTGCTTGTCATATGACATTCAGCTCATGGGATGAGGAAGCAGGTTCAGAACATGTCCAGTCTTCTGATTCAAGAAGTTGTTCATGAGTCCTATTGTTCTGGATACTAAACAAGGATGTGCTTCTTTGAATGGGCCAAATCCTGTTGTAACAAGACTTGATATTTAGCCAAGAGCTCTCATGTTTGCTGGAACTCCAACTGGTTGAAACTAGCTTAATTACCATATCTTTGAAATAGCTTTCACTGCCATTTAGTTTGCTTTCTCAAAACATAGAATGTTTTCATTCTAAAATGACCTTGCTGCTGTGAGAAATCAGGCTTCCTTTCTTTCTTCCCTAAAGAGGTCTCTATAAATAAACATGGGGGAAATCTATAAATGCCAAGATCTGACTAATTTTAGCAGTACAGAGAATCTTCACAGCTGCTATAAGTGGGTCACTCCAAAAGTTTCTAGACTTTTCACCAACAAATGAAGATAAATAGGTTCAAGCTCTCTCACTGAATGGTCTTCTAAGTTGGTTGAGAAAGCTTCATTTTGTTCCATTGATATCTAGTGACATTGAGATATTTTGAGTGGAAGCAAGTAGCAACATCTCATGAAGTACAATTCTGCCCATGGCTGAAATTACCTACATGATGGTTCATTTCAAATGACAGAAAGCTTTGTGTCACTTTCTAAATCTGTGAGAGAGCTTCTGCAAGTAACACTTACCTAGGTGAAATCTCCATGGTTCTTTTGAGGAGCAAGCATCTTGTGAACCGATTTTAACTGGTACAGCCCCTTTAATTGAGGGAAAGACGATTTTGAAGGCAGCCTTGATCTGGATACTCTCCAACAGCAGGGACACAACCAAGCATAGACATTGCACACTCAGTTATAAGGATATTTCACAAGGTTCATCTTTGATGAGGAATTTTTCTTAATCAGCAACTGGAACAGTTCAATTTGTGTTTGAATTGCTGCCATAATAGGGTACCCTGATTGGGGCATGTCTCAAGTAATTTTTCCCTCATTGGAAGAGGCAACAGTAGTTTCCAAACTTTCCTTCACTCACATTGAACCTTCCAGTGTCCAGGGGGTCACAACCCACCATTTGGGAACATCTGTGGCACCACTTGAATGCTTGCACATAATGGGAGGTCCATTTTCAATTGCAGAAAATGATCATGTGAATGTGACAGTGTGTGAGGTCAGCCATGGTGAAAATCCCTATTCATGAGATGTTCCTAAATGCTTTCACTCAAAGTGCTCCAATGTCAATAAATTTCAATGGAATATAGCAAAACTTTTGTAAGAAAACATTTAACAAGTCCATTGAACAAATAAGAGGACTTGGACCAATTTGCCTTGATTTGCAGGTGAAAATAAAAAAACCTAAGTAAACCTCATATGTGGGCAGTATTATCATGACCATTAGCAGCCTGTAGCTGCTAATGGAATACTTCAAATAGGCCATATTATTTATTTAATTTTTTTGCAAACAGAGATGTTTCTACATGTTGTGGGTCTTTGGCCACTTTTGTCTCAGATGCTGACACATGCTCTTGTCTTTGATACTTGACAATATTGGGAATATACAGTCAACCCTCGATATGACACTGTCAGTCATCACCAATTTTGGCACAATGAGGGTGGCGCTATATAAAATTATCTATATCCATATTATATAGGCCTATGGGGATATATGTCCACAAGAAAAGGTTGGCGATGAGGGTGGTGTTACATTGAGTGTCAGTATAATGAGAATTGACTGAACCCAACTGGCTCAGGGAAATGGAATGCAATATCCAAATCTTTCTTGAATGTAAAACAATAAGGAAACTGGTAGGGTCACATATTAGTTTAGGTTAGAAATCATAGGTCACTGTCCTATGGTACTATATATCAAACATTTCCTAGTTGACTTGATGGTAGGGAATCTGTTAAAATGTTCATGATTTTGTCACTTTCCCTGGATAAATTTAAGCATTTATATTTCTACTCATGCAAGAGTATGATTGAATATGTCCATTTTGAAGAGCTATGGCATGAGTGAAACTCATGTGATCCCCATTAAGACAAAGGGATTCACCAATCTGTTTTGAAAGGATATGTTACGCCAGGAAATAGCCAATACGATGGCTTTGTCATGAAAAGGCTTGGCATTCTACCTGCTGAGGTTTAGTCTTTTGCTAATGATTGGGAACACTGGAGGATGCTCCTGGGTCTGCTCCTACTGCAATCCCTCTAGACTTGAAAATCTATGCACATATGACAGCTTCCATCATGTTTAACCTCTCTCAGCTCAATGTGGTCCAACTTCTTCATCAATCAATCTTCTGATTTTCAATTATTTGTCTTGGACCGTATGTTATAAGCATCCCAAATTCTCTTCTCAAACAGGATTTCATGCGAGACACAATACTCCTATCACTAATTGATAATTGAATCCAGCTCTTCATGCACATTCACAATGCATCTTACTTGCAAATGTCATACCTCAGAATTTTTTTATTCAAGCTGCCCAGAAAAGCTTTTTGAGATTCAGCTCACATCAATATGGTGTGAGTTTCAAGACCTTGTGGCTCTTCTCAAGGATCAATTTGTTGTTCATGCTTATCTAGTATTTTGAAGCCTAAACTCAAGGTACCTTGACAAACTGAGGCCATCATATCTTCAGCATGTGGGACACCTTTCCTTAGGATTCACTCCTTGATGTTCTGTCAACTATTCATTGATGGTACATCATTTTCCCCCCTGCAATGTTAGGATGCATGTTCATGAACAATGACAAATTCTTCAGGGCTGTTAGTTAAGGAAGTCATGGTTTTAAGTATTTGAAGACTTCTCCATTCCTCTTAATTTTATATAATGGGGTGTTCTTGCCCCTAAAGATCAGTTGGCACCTCTTATGAATAGAATACCTTTTCCTCCCAATAGAAATGCAAATATAACCTACCATATATAGAATTACACCATACTGGCACAAGGTGAATTCTAAACCTGTCTAGATAATGGTTCCTGAGTTATGGCTTGGATTTATCCCATCTGTTGAGATCCCTCCAAAAGCTGTCCATCTCACACCCTTTACATCTATCATCCTTTCATACTCTGACATATGAGTACCCATATGAAAATTCTATATATGACAGGGTGTATGATTCTACTAGTATATTGTCATGTATGATCATATATTTGCCATATACCACCATATATGTATTTATATATTAACAATTG